ATCAAGCAGTTCAGCTCAATCGGAAGTCGTACACCATGTATCGGTACCATTGGCCACTTCAGATTCTTTTTTAGAGCTGGATCTCAGCTTCAGAGCATGGGTTCAAGATGAAACTTATGAGGAATGATGTTGGACCCAAATGATGATCTTTTATAAAAAAAAATTTTGTGATCGGACTTTGCAAAAAAAAATTTTTTTGTAACCGGTACCCCTAACGTTTTCTTTGCCGTTAGTGATTTTCAATTTTTTAGAATATAATCTTTATCAACATCGAATATCATCGGCAAATTTGAAATTTCATCGAAAAATATACGTCCATTCATGAGATAGTGTTTTGAATTTTGGGAATATTGTGAAAACTGGCACAAAAATGCAGAGTTTATATCTCATGAAGGGGTCTATAGTTTTCGATGAAATTTGAAATTTGTCGATGATATTTTCCGTAGATTAAGACTATATTCTAAAAAATTGAATATTACTAAAGGCAAAGAAAAAGTACCCCAGGTCAAAAAATGAAATGCTAAGATCAATCACAGATTATTGTAAGTTCCTATCAGATCTTACAGTAATATCGTGCCTGATCATACATGATCAGACGGAAAATCGTAAGGAAAATCGTCGTCTCTGCAATCTTACATCAGATCTTACATTAAGGTCCACATATGAGCGAACATTACGATCTTGTATGGTCATATAAGATCATATAGTTAGATTACAACAGATTTTTTCATGGCTACACATTATTCACATTATTGATATTGTTGAATCTTGATATGTCAAATATAATTCAAATTGACTTCATACCACAAAGAAAATTTTTACTTGTAAAGATATTCATCGGTGCATTATCTGAAAGTCATTGTTAAATAGTCAAGGTAATAAAGCAACAATAAAAAAAGTTAACAATAAAAAAATTCTTTTCTATATTTCCAATATAGAAAAATAGAAATACATGTGCAAGCATATAGTAGTATAAAAATAAAATAATATACTATTCTCTATAATATCAATATAGAAAAAAACGAATAAAACAAAATTACCTTCTATATTATTAATATCAATACACAAAAATAAGGAAAAATAATGTGTCCACGCATATAGTTTAAAATAAATCAAATATTGTATTGTTTTCTATAATATATATAGAAAAAATAGAAATATATATGCAAGCATATAATAGTATAAAAGTAAAATAATATATTATTTACTATATTATCAATATCAATATATAGAAAAACAAGGAAATGCGAAATAAATTTACAAGCATACAATTTAAAATGAATCAAATATTGTATTGTTGTCTATATTATATATATATAGAAAGATAACAAATGAAATAAGTTACTTTTTTATTATCAATATTGAACAATAACAGATAAAAAAATTATTTTCCATGAATTCGGTATAGAGAAACACATATATGCCTAAGCATATAGTAGTATAAAAGTAAAATAATATATTATTCTCTATATTATCAAGATACATAAATAACGAATAAGAAATAAATGTGCAAGCACATAGTTTAGAGTAAATCGAATATTATATTGGTGTCTATATTATATATAGAAAAATAACAAATGGAAAAACTTATTTTGTATCTGTTCAATATAGAAAAATTTAAATATATGGGCAAATATATAGGAGAAAAAACACAAATAATGCATCATTTTCTATATTATCAATCTCAATATAGAAAAATAAGAATGAAAATATATGTACAAGCATATAGGTTCAAATAAAGCAAATATTATACCGTTTTCTATATTGTATAAATAGGAAAATAACAAATAAAAGTATTATTTTCTATATTGTCAATATAGAAAGAAACCAAATGAAATAAAATAATTTCTGTATTATTGATTTCAATATAGAAAAATAGGAATACAAAAATATATGTTCCAGCACAAAGTAGAGGATAAATAGAAAAAAATTTAATTTTTCATCTCCTGATAGTCTTAGAAAAACTGGGACATCCATATTTTTCCCGTCGAAATATTTTGTGAAGAAAAACGTTCTCTATTATGTGAAAGTTTCCGAGATATATCTGTACTTTGACGAATCTATTACACAAAGCATTTACTGATGAAGTCAAAAATGATTTTACAATTGCAATAATATAAAACATTGACTTGCACAACACAGTTTTGTGTATTATGTACATTTGTTCAAAACAGAAAGTCTTGAATCAACAATTCTTGAATAAGTAAAAGAACATGACAGATTATACAGAATCAAATAAGATCAGATAAGACTTGGATTACGTAGTGCTCTAAATTTCTTTTGTCTATAAATCTTATTTGATCGGATAAGATCAGATCACAGTCTATTACTCTGTTCTTATACGTTTCTTAATCTCAGAATCTTATAAGATTTTCAATGGCATCTTTCATTCTGAATCTGACAAAATCTTTAAAACAATGGACCCATACAAATATTGTCATATCTTGTGGCAAGATCGTATAAAAAAATCGTGTATGCATAAGATCTTATAAGATCTGATACGATCTGACAGCCGTTTTTTCAGCTGAGGTTAGGCAATGCCGGTTACAAAAAAAATTTTTTTTTGCAAAGTCCGATCACAAAAATTTTTTTTATAAAAGATCATCATTTGGGTCCAACATCATTCCTCATAAGTTTCATCTTGAACCCATGCTCTGAAGCTGAGATCCAGCTCTAAAAAAGAATCTGAAGTGGCCAATGGTACCGATACATGATGTACGACTTCCGATTGAGCTGAACTGCTTGATATTAATGCATGATCGACCAAGAAACATTTTTCCGAGCAGACGAAAAAAGAAATTTTGAAGTTAAAACATAGAAAAGTTTCATTTACTAAAAAAGTATTTTTTTTTCTATGTATTTTGTATGATCTGTTCTTATTAGGAATATGTTTTCGCTGGCTGTTCTTATTAGGAACATTGACTGTACAGCATTATTTTTACTATCACTACATATAAAAAGAAAATTTCCTCAAGCTTACTATACAGTATTAAAGTGTCACTGCCACTACTTTTGGATTGCCCTAAGTAATAGAGTAAAACAATTACTAGAAAAGCATGAATCGCTCCTCTTAAAATGGATATCATTTATTGAAATAAACTAAGGATATTGAAAGAATAGCACATGCAATATATCTATACTTCTCTTCCTTTTTTCTTTTTTCTTTTTCTCTTTTTTTTCTGGCCTTGAAACGGCTACGTACATCTTCCTTCGCTTTCGATTTGTCTTCTCTTCTCGCTCCCATTCTGCTTCACCTCTTTTTCGATGCTTTCTTTTTCCTTTCCTTTCCTTTCCTTTTCATATTTTTCTTCTCTTTTTTTTTCTTCGCTCTATTTTTCGTTGTATTTATTCTCTTAACATCCATACCAGCTGAGTTAATACTCGACATAAAAATATTGATGGGGACGGTAAGCTCATTGCACTTATGTTGTTGCTCAGTGCTTAAATACCTCAATTTTTCTCTATGTTTTCATTGATTCACGCTTTTCGTGATTCGTCAGGGTTTGAGTCATTGTGTTTGTCATTGTAACGATTATCCTTGGAATTATTACGGGTATGATAAATAGTAAACAATCAGATCTCATCACCGCTACTTGTCTCATAATTTGTTTCTATTTTGTAGCTGCTGCCATTTTTGTGAAAATAAACGAGCTCGTCGTTTAGAATCCACGTTTGATGTGATCAATCTGTTCGATTTCCACTCGATGAGAACAAATATCGTTCTGTGTTTGTATAGCTTTAACTTCTGATAAAACCTATGCGTATTTATTGTTTTTCTCTTCTGATTATCAAACAAATAAAGAACTGAACGTCGAACAAAATTCTACTATATCTCACGAGAACAACTATTTACTTCTACATTTATGAAAATGTTTTTTTTTCTCCTAGCAGTTATAAAAGGTGTTTAAATCTTGAGTGTACTGATATTTTTTAGTCTAGGTTTTGGCCGCTTATACATTATACATGTATGTTTGATGCCAGCGTAAAGAAGAAACAGATAGAGAAAGGAAAAGAATGAAAGCAGTCTTTTTCTTCCTCTCTCTTTCTCTCTCTGTATCCAACCATTATGGATAAATGTCGATTGATACTTTTCGTAAGTGATAAAGACAAACAGCGTCGTTGCAATAGAACAAAAGGCACAAGAGTAATAATGATGACCATGTTTGTTCTAATGTCTACCTCATTCGCTTTAGTATTTGCTGCTATCAACATGGACAGATATTATTTTCTATTAGGTGAGAGTAGGCGAAAATGGTATGAAATAACGGATGGTGCATAAAGAATGCCCTTCCAGTATTTTTAATATATTTCAATAGTATAATAACTCCAAAGAGTGATTTTTTTAGAACGATGCGTCTTTTAATTCTCTACAATCCTACACACTTCAACTGATTCAATTAGAATTCGTTGCTTTAGAATCAATGACGAAAGTGATATATCTAAAATCCACAACTTTCAAAAAAAAGCTCTTTCTGTAAATTTTTTATTCCACATGTTTGAACTCTTGAGTGAGTTTTTTTTAATCTGCCATTTGGTTTGAAGCGACAACCAATAGCAACATATCACTAATGAAATATTTTAAAATTTTCAAAGTCGATTTATTCATCTCAGAATAGATATTATTGTAAATACACGAAAATGTATCCTAATGTTGATGCTGTTCATAAGCAAAATTCTAGTTATGGCTTTGTTTAGATTTGTCAAATCTTTAAACAATTTCGAAAGATGATCAGTAAATGCCCAGTATCTAAACATGTTTCTTGTAATCGTCNTCTTTCGTCAATTAGTCTACCAGTCAGATTCTGTATCAGCAGATGTTTTATCGGAAATATTTCCAAAAAATACACAATACATTCATCGGCCATTATATGCATTAATAGAAATTGCTAAATCAAAAGTTGATTCCAATCTTGAAGAACTTCAACCAAAACTTATCCCAATACCAGTAATGGAACAAACATGTCGGGTAGACATTTCTGATATTCTTCCAAAAGACAAGAAACCAAAATCAAATCGAAAAGCAATTCTATCGATTAAACGTCGAGCATTACCATTGGTGCCAGCTTATTGCATTACAACACACAAGAGTCAAGGTCAAACATTGAATAAAGTTGTGATCGATCTTAAATTACCAAATGAAACTGAAGATATTGCCGCAGTTTATGTACCATTATCTCGTGTAAAACGTTTGGCCGATCTAATCATCTTACGGCAATTTGATTACAAGGTGTTACTAATTAAACCAAGCAAATCTCAAGTCACCGAAATGGAAAGACTGGATCAACTGTATTTAGAAACTCAAAAACGTTTTTCTCATTGGTTTCAATGATTTTTTTGTATTGCATGGAAACTGGTTTTTTTATTTGTATCTGTTATTGCTGTAAATACTCTTCTTAGGTGCTTTTTCTGTGTCATATGCATTTAAATATTGCTTTTTTTTTCTATATTAATGTTGTGCATAGATTAGCGTTATTTTTCTTTGTTATGATTGTAGTTCGATATAATATTTATTAGATATAGATATCTCTTTTTCTGTTTGCTATAGTTGCAAATGCAAATAAAATATATTTATGTCGTGTAGTTGCTTATAGAACTTTAAATATCATTAATCTCGATTGTTTAATAGTGCATAAATTTGACGGAAAAGGCATTCATTCAAGGTTCAGTGATGATTCCTGTTACACTTGCTCATTTTATGTAAGATATAAAAATATTCTGATTGATCTGTGTAGTTGATAGGTTGATCATATATATGAGCGGTAACTATTAATTGAAAGCAACATATCTAATATTATTATCAGTGTATGATATAGACTACTATTTTTGTCGCGAAAAGACGTAATAATATGATGCAGATAAGTGCATCTATCATTTTTTTTGATAAATTTTCATTAAAAGAATAATCTTTGTTGATATTATTAGCTACAGAACAAGTAAACACATTTTTCTAACTATTGTGATGCAGAAGAGAGAATCCCGCGGCACTATTTTTGAAAACACTTAGCTCTATAAGTAGTCGAGAAAAATCGCGATTTTAATTCTGAGAATAATTAAAATTCTAAGTTAACTATACTATTACAGGTTAGGATCATAGTATTGTTACACGTCTATTTAGTTATATCTGATGTTATTACCATCAGTTACGTCAGAGAAATAAAATAAAATGATATGTAAATAAATTTAATTCTTCAGTCGAGGGCTAAGCGAGTCGAAGCGACGCGCGTTACTTGTTAGGTAGTGTTATTTAATAAATTAGATATAGATTGCTATATTTTTAGGTATTAGTTTATATTTACCCCTTTATATAAGTACTATCCTATATCTTTGTTGAGTTTGAACAATCCCGATTTTGACAATAAATGATATAGATTTTCACATGAGTAAAACTTGACTCAAGTTGCAATTAGAAATACAGCAATACCAGTGTTATCGTAGGTGTGGATATGAGTATAGCCCAGGGAGTTAAAGAATAAAAAAATGGCATTAACATGATGAAGTAGACAAAAGGTTGATGTATTTAAAATTCATCCATCAAAATAGATATGTTCATTAATTTCATTGCATGATTTCGATTAAAAATGAAAGTCACTGCATTTACTTAATTAAAATGTCTCTTTTCATCAATGAATATGAAAAACATTAATTCTTCTGCCTGTTTCATCATCAGAAATGTCGTTATTTTCTGTGTTTTTGATATAAAATTCACGAAAAATCATGAAATTTTTCTCATTTTTTGACTCCATGGGGAATGTGTGTGTGCTAAACTGATGTTATTCAATAAAAACTACAACAGGAATATCCACACCATCAATACTAAAATATGAAACACGTTAGAGCGACTCAACTGATGAACGAAATCACTAGTCAAGTTGACTACTGTGTATTTCAGTGCAATAGACAAACATATCGAAATGTCTGTCATGATCATGATGGAGAGAGGTTAAGAAAGTGAGTTTAACTTTCTGACTATACAATTCAAAACTCCTTTACAATTGTGTTACACAAAATAATTTCTTACAATGGAAGGTCAAGAAATGTGAGTTAAACAGATTGACCATATTCGGGTCAAATGTACGCTCTTATCGCTAAAGTAACAAATTAATAATATAACGTGACCATAGCGAGCGTGAACTGTGATATTTGGTTTTTAAAATATTCTTAATTTTAGTACAACAACATCATTACAAGAAAAATATTCATATTTGGCTTTTTACATAATCATCAACTCTTTGATTTGCTCAGTTTTTAGAGTCTCCTTGAAATGTATCGAACACAATACAATGATAATAAATTCAGCTTCTTCTAAAAGTTTATTAGTATCGAACTCAAAAAAAGTAGACAACTTGTTATGAAAACCTGTAGGTTCTTTGTACTTTAGATCTTATTTCAAATAAGCGAATATATTTACTACTTGTAGCAATAGGTGTGGTTTTTGGTATGGATGTGTGGCTGATGAATAAGAGAAGATCCGTACCAACAACGACACCCACGTAACCACTCACAGTCTTTTATGATCTTCATTGTTATACTATCCATTTTGAGAAATAACGTTCTTAATGTGTGCTTAGTGCCAAGACCACCTTTAATATCATCATTTCATTGCAGTTCTTCTTCTTCATATTTATTAAAACTAATGATTTCTGACAGAATAAGATCAAAAGTACTGTGAGCCTACAGGTTTTGATATAAAGTTGTCTACTTTTTCCAAGTTCAGTATTAGTAAACTTTCAGAAGTAGCTGAATCTATTATCATTCTATTGTGTTCGTTAAATTTCAAGGAGATATACTTTTCACGCAATGATGTTGCCATACTAGAACTTCGGATATTATAGAAATCAAATATCATACTTCACGCTCGCTATCGGCACATGATATTCGTAATTTATTATTTTGGCGGTGAGAGCATACATCCAATCTGAATATGATCAATATCCTTAACTTACACTTCGTGATCTCCCATTGTCAGTTTCAGAGCCGAGTGTGATCCTCAGCAGTCCATTACTTGTGAGGACTGAATTCTATAAATCTAGTCACGTTTCAGTTCCTACTTCTGTTTTCAAAGCATGAAAGATTGCAGTCGCTGCTCTGTATGAGAAAACTTCTATAGAAAATGCTGAAAGATCAAGCAATCTTTCATGAACAGTTTGGTTTCTGTGCATAACAATCGGATAAAGAGGACATAATGTTGTTTGTTTTCTCATCGTATGCCAATACAAGTGCGCGGATAAATCAAACACAAACCAATTGACTTTGTTGACATGGGTTTTATGTTTTATTATATTTCTTTATTTTCAATTTCTTTCGTGCAAGACCAAGTTTAACTGCAATGAAGCCCAATGTTATTATAAACGAGCTGAGAACTATAATCTACCAAAGTCTATCCTTTTCACAAGTATTCGTGACTTATCCAATGAAGTGTTAAGCGGTATAGAACAATATAACAAAGCTATTTTCTACTGTCAAAGATCTATTGACATTCAATCCCCATGGAAATTAATAGTAATTACTCATTTCGCTACCATGTGCGTAGATCTAGCTAGGTTAAGTGTCAGGAGATCAAAGCGACGATAGTGAAACTTTACAATGCTATGCACCATCATGAAATTTAATATCTGTCAATTTCACTACCTTATCTCCAGCACATTGAGAAACAGTTCAACTTTAGCATGATTGAAGAAAACTTTTGTTTCAGTTTGACGATTCTCGAAGTATTATCACACAAATACACCAATATTTGATGCTCCAGTGTTATTGGGAGAGACATCTGGTCTGTTTGAAAGCTATTTTTCAACATAGGTATGTCAATAGTGCACTATTCATCATTTTAAAATACTGAATAATAAACAATGACTATTTCTACTGTGAGCAATGAGAAAGTTTCACTATTTTGTACTTGTAGTGCACGATTGATCTGCGTGCAGAGCAAGAAAAAATATTTATGTGATCTTAAAGAAAGACAAGAAAGGAAGCATGCTACAAAGCCCACACAAAAGCAATAGTCAAAATTATTCACGCTTACCTCATCTTGCCGCAAAAACAGGAAACACTCACTACTTACGTTGTTTATAAAAACTAGACAATATTGTTTGATTTCCTTCATTCTACTGAACGAACAAATGGCGATGACCTTGAACTACTTGCTTGGTGAACATTTACTCCAACATGACGAGCCGAACCAACTGCCAACCAGCAAACTCAATGGAAAAACTGTGGTACTCTATTTCTTGTCAGCACAACCACCTTGTTTTTCAGTTAATTATATCAATATTTTTATAGGGGTCATTGGTGTCCGCCCTATCGCAATTTTGCACGGAAACTGACTGAAATCTACAAGAGAGTTCAAAGTGAAGTGCGTGACAAGTTGGACATTGTCTTCGTCTCCTGTGATAACGATCAAAATATGCTTGATGAATATTTTACAGATATGCCATGGAAAGCGTTACGTTTCTCCAGTACATTCGTTTTATCCCGACAGAGCAGAAAAGGGGAGAAGGAGAGAGTGCCCAACACTATAATGATAAGGTGAAAGCCTCAGAGAACATTTTGTCATCGAGTGATCTAATAGCAGAAGATGAGACAGAAATGAAATGAAAACAATATCATCATTTGTAAGAAATCATTGTTGTCATAATAGAGCCAACGTTAGCTCTGAATACTGAACACTTCTGTTTAATTACATCGAATTCGGAAATATACGTCACCATTGTTTCAAGATATACGGATAGAGAATATCTAGAGGTATTTTTCCACAGGATTATCATTTGAATTGAATCATAGTATCTGTCATTTTTCTACAGGTATTCTTGTACTTATTCTTTCACTTCAAAACGTTGATGCTTTCAAAATTAATGATATTCGTATGTTGTCTCTTTTGGAGAGACAGAGCAGCAAGTATGAATCTGAATAGAAAAGATCATGCCCTATTTTTGAAGAGGAGAATCTCGATGTAAATTCGCTCATTTAGATCGTGATCGTTGTGAAACAATAGACAAAAAATTTGAAGTTAGTAGTATTCCATGCTTGGTCGTTCTCACGCCATAATGTGATGTTCTTATTATGGATGGTCTTGAAGAGGTACGATCAGTGCCTGATAAAGCTATGCGACTGTGGTCTCAAGGTAAGTGCCTCTTTTGGACGCGGCAACCAAGTGAAGGCGAACATATCTGGGAAGGTATCGCTTGCACTATATGCCATATATATCCGCTGGTTGATGCACGTCGTGGTTGTACTCATCAAGGATGCAGTATTCATGTGTGCAATGCTTGCATCTCGAAAAATACTCACGAACATCCTCTCGCGGAATATCTAACTCCTGAAAGACATTACTCATTTCAACAAATATTTGCCTCACTTACTTAGTCCGAACAATAGAGAACAAATGGAGATAAAAACACTTTGGAAAGACGATGCTAAAACTATCGGAATATATTTTTCTGTTGAATGGTATCCTCCATGTCGTGATATTACATCAACATTGACTCAATGCTACATTGAAGCACAAGCTAGTGAGCACCCATTTCAATTAGTTCTTGTATCAAGTGATGAAGATGAACAATCATTTAATAAATATTGTGCCCAAATGCCCTGGTATGCTGTTCTTTTCAATGCAGGAGCTCCGTTTCTAGTGTATCTTCAATATCCTGATCAGTGAAATGTGCCATTCTCCCACTCATTGACATCTTTGTAAATTTTAGGTATTCCGTCACTGGTTATTGTCTCAATCGATGGACACATTCTAACCCGTCGTGGTCATAATTATATTTCGAGCAAAGCAGCCAATGTTCTGAAAACTTGGGCCCAAGGGAAACAGTTGCCTCCCCTTTCGGCAGATGAGCTCGAATGATCGAGCGTCTACTGTGATGGATGCAACATGTCTTCAATGGTTGGTCAACGTTACCATTGTTCGACATGTAGAAATTATGATCTCTGTTCAGCTTGTGAAAAGAAAGGACACGAACATCCGCTTGAACTTGTTCCACAGCCGAACGATGATTAACATTGATAAATAGTTTTCTCTTGATCTATTTCACTGTTTGTCTTCGAGCATATAGAACTACTTCACTTATCCTTACAGATTTTGGCCTCATATTTCGATAATAAATCATTTCTTTTCTGTTGTGAAAATGTGTGTTGATGCGTCGTAGATTATGAAATATGCACTTATAATCTTATTTTTTTTGCAAGTCCAGGCAAGGAAGTTGACACAAACTAAAACTGAACTCATCTATAGCAACTCTGTTCAAATGGCCTAAAAGTCTCTTCGTATCGTACAACTATATAGAAATATGAGACTCAGCTGCGGAAAAAAAATTGTTCAAGCATTAATCTGAAAAATGTTCATAGGTATTCAATTTATTGACCCTTGTAGTCGTTGTTATGACATACGTCCGAATAGCAAGATTGAGCTATTACTCCAAGGAGTATCTTGATCATTCTGAATTGAATTCTTATGTGGATATTCTGCAGCCAATGATTGTACTATTGGCAAAAACTGCATGTCAAAAGACAATTTTTTAATGGAATTACATTTGAAACAAAAGCATAAGAAAAAATTTGTCCATCATTGTAGATTGTCGTCATCGTCTGCAACCTATTTATCAGACTCAGATCATTTTCTTCTATGTTCTTCTGTCGATTAGAGTATTTTCATATTTAAGTCTCGTTGCATTTAATCCAGGAATGTTCTAGATGGCAAGATCTTGATATTTTTTGGTCACTTATCGAATCTGTTCATCGTGAACTCTAATGTATCATTGTTTCACATCTTTGCGAAATTTGTTTGAGCTGTCCACGACTGGCGAACACGATTAAAACAGACGCCATTGGATTTCTGAGGACCCTACCATTGAAGACTTGTTCCTCTCAAAATTTTGCGAATACAATCTTGCTCTCATTCACAATTCTCAAGTAAAGTAAGTCCTTATTTGACGCTCACATGTGAATCAGATATTTCATTTGTACTAATGTGATCAGTAAACTTAACAATTGATTATGATGAATAGCAATGAGAAAGATGAAGTCAGATTCTTGTGAATTTTCGCTTGTCATCTGTGAACAACGCTTAGAACATTTTCGTGAGGTTCACAGGAAATAAGTTCAGTTAATCACAACAGAAAGGATCACTTTAAGATAAAAGATACATTCAGAAGTCAGATTCTACGGTACTTGGAAACCAAAAGCTTTTACACCCGGAATCACTCGTCCATATTGATAAACGTGCTCCTGATCTTTCGCATAGCTATTACTAAGTACTTCGAAAAAGAACGGCTTAGCTCCTTCAACAATTTGACCCATGAAGAAAATATGATCATGATCTTTGGCATAGCCACTGCTAAGCAGTTCGAAGAAGAACGGCTTAGCTCCTTCAACAATTCGACCCATGAAGAAGACATGATCGTTGTCTTTTCCTAGAAAAGTGAAAGTGAAATTTACAAACTTCGAAGAATGAAACGTGATGACTAACCATAGCCTTGACCCAAATCTTTGAATCCGACCCATTTAGCTTCAGGAATAATTTGTCTACCGAAGAAAACGTTGAAACCATGTGTTTCATATGATGGTATCGGACCAGGTGGCCATTGACCAAACATTGTTGAGTACGAAAAGAGAACACAAAAACGAATTAGTTAGTGTATCTTGAATTTGTCGTGTAGAATAAAAGTGTGTGCGTTGGTCGAACTTAAGTAATGATCAATAAGAGAAAGGCAATAAATGATTCTGTCAGATATTTAGTTCAATTAATGGCAATCGAATAAAATGATGCACGACAAAAAAAAAAGAAGTGATCGCACGAATTTAATCGCCACCCACTCTAAAATCGCTTGTTTTTGAGTTTTTAAAAAATTGTATCAAACAATAGCAGATAGTTTTCTTCCAGTATCTGTTCCGGCTTCTAGAAAACTCAACTGTTTAGATAGAAAAAGCTTGACTTTTTCAAAAACTTCAACTATTGACAAAACAGAAATATTCTACCAAATATCACTTGGAACTAACTGGTTGCCTCTGTAACCATTTCAAAATGTGTATAAAGTAATTCAATACAACTCTGCTTACTTCACGCATGCATGTTTACCCCTTTCACTGCGTCTCAATTATACGATAGAAAATAAAAAATACATCACTGGATCTATTTAACGGTGAAGGCAACTCGACGATGCATTCATACGTGGTAAATATTTCATTGATTTCACAAGAAGAAAATACGCACATGGTTGTCCGTATCTGTAACGTATGATTTTTTCACTCGACCTGATACAAGAGTAGTATTAGAACATCATGGAAAATTCTTTTTGTAGCGATTCAACTGCAAGACATAGCTCAAGTTAGTGAAACTTTTCACAATGGGAGAACGGCCGATATCGAATTTCGAAGTCGGTTCGGATTTTCTGCAAATCAATAAAGATTTATTTCCAGAAAATCGAACCTATAGATGTACCTGTTTCTATTGTGATCACCCCCACCTATCCTAGTTAGTGGAGAAATCTGAAATTTTCGAATTTAATATTTAGTATGAAAATTTGTTGTAAAGAACTTACACATATTCAAAGAAATTTATTTTTGCTACGGACATAAATGAATAATGACCACGAGCAGTTAATTAGCATGGCTAAAAACAATATTTTGTACTTCAGACTGTAAATAGCAGTCGTTCGAATTCTGAAGGAGGACTATCACAAAAAGTCATTCTATTTATTAATGAAACAAATTATTATTTGTGTTGCCATATAAGAATATTTTATTATATATGTGCATTGACAAAAATTAGGAAGGTCTTATTGACAGAATGGTATGATATAATAACACTCGAGGAGAAAAAAAAAGAAATATATATATTAATCTTTACTGTCATCGAAAATATTGCTTCAACCTATTAAATTACAATCAACGTAACCTTTATCGCCATCACATGAAATGATGATTGAATTAGACCATGTCTACACGAGAAAAACTAGATGACAATCGAGTGAAACTTAATAACAAAATGTGATGCGAAACTCAAATCTGAATCATGGAAAAAAATCCATATTTCATAAAAAGTGAATAACCGTTGAAACGATTATTCATACAACGCTATTTCGCATGCAATATTTACAACAGCGAGTTTCTTTCCTTTCATTCGTATTGAAAACTTGAATTATTCACGCTTTCGTCAATTCGTTGATCGAAAGTGCAAAAAAAATAATTAAATAGACACTAATTACCTACACGATTCATTATCTATAGGCAACCGCATTCACAACTGTCTTAGCCATAAACAAAGAGAGATGTGGCTAGTCTTTGTTGCTATATTCATTCTAACCTATGACGTTCAAATCATCGGTTATTTACGGTTCTTCTGCTTAATTCAATCTTTTTTTTATCTGAGTCCATGAATATTTTTAAACTCTCAGAAAAATGTTAGATGCCAGTCGAAATCGCACTATTTACTGATGTGAGCGCACTCAAGCTGCCTGTACCAGTCACATCAGCTATTGTTGCTTAGTTTTCGAGTTTAATTATTATTTAAGATAGCCCCACACACAAAAGAAGTCATTAGCTAGAATATTTAATTAATAGAAAAAAATGTGGCACCATCTGACACAACACACTGTGGCATTTTAAAATCGCCTTTTTCGAGTTGAAATCGATCTCTTCAAGACGGAAAATATTAATATAATAGATAAATTATTAAAAAAATTGACAAAAAAAGAGGGGCACTGTCGATTTTGATTAAAAGCTGGCGACATTGGAATTATCTGTGAGTTTGAAAACGCACTAAGTCCATAAACATTTGTCTTTTTAGAGCACTATTTGTAAGCAAACGGAACCTGCTAAGGAAGATTTGAAAAACAACGGTGTTTGCTCGATCTCAATACTTTTACGTTACGTTTGAACGCTTATTTTCTGAGTTTCCGGTCTTGAAATCAACATGACAGAAAATGACAACTTTTGATGCGGGCGTTAAGAAAGAAAAAAACATAATGCGCAAAAGACTATCTGAATATCTGAAATGAACTAGTGCGATAGTTAATTCACCAATAAAAAGTCAGATTTTGCCACTATGATGTAGTCAAAGCGCATAAATACAACGCACTTTTGCAAAAGTAAATATTGTACTATTTGTTTATGAATAATTAGAGATGAGTCACTTCTAGTAGCAGTCTATTTTCAACTCTATTTGAAATGTGCTTATACAAACGCATTACATTGTTTTTCATTAGTATCGACAACGTTAATTTAATTGATGCACTAAATGTGAATTAAATTTTCTAGTGTAGACAAAACAAGAATGTTTATCTAAAATCTACGAAGAACTTTTTCATTGCTGCGCATCTTTTTTTTTTTTGTATCCAAAACTTCTTGGTGAAACAAAAGTCGTTCATATATATAACACAGTGAAAAGCTTTTCTTATTCGCCAAAAGCATAAACTAGTTCGAAATATCTATAAGAAATATTTTGCATTTAAACTCATCTCGATATCATTTACTCACACTTTGATCTCATTCTACGAACGAAATAAGTTAATATAACAAGATCTGTAAAACAAAATATGGATATAGAGTGATTACACTCATCAGCTAATCGAGTCATTTAAGGTTTCATCAATCATAAATTGCATGATTGAACGAGAGTTGTATGTAAAGCAACCTGTACACTTAGCGATAATTTCAAATTCATCGTGATTATAAAAAGAACATGTGAACAGGACACTCAATATTTTTCTTTGCTCACGATTATTTTGATTTTTCTTTATTTTAAACGTGTGACAGGTCATTAGAAGTGTTTCCTACTGCTTAGTTTTGGATTTCTGCATGCTGCTCTCCTTAATGTAAACTTTTTGTTTTCAATTGAGTTGAATTTTGCATTATGAGAGAAAGCATTTCACTGCTGAATAAGTTACAGAGTCGTTCTCTTATATGTTAACCTGTATTTATATGAAAACATTTTGTTTCTTCCTTAGAAAGTATACCAAAATGTGGAAAAATATTTGCTCTAGCCATTCTAAGTCAATTCAATTCTAAATGTAATCAGCCAGTCATCGAAATGTTTCATGCAATTGAAAATAACCCAACAACAGATATTAGTCATCTTTTTGTTTGACTGTTTACTATCAAAAACAAGGAATCTAATGTGAACAAGACACATATACAGCTCGATATACTGTTTAGTGTTCTATTTGAGAATCATCTCCGAATTAAGACAAAAAATGTACCAAAACCTTAAAATGGCGAAATACTCTTCGAAAATGTGAAAATAACTGCTAAAAGATATTTTATATGAATATATGTTTTTGTCCACGGTACTTTCAAGTTTTTTCGGTGGAAAATCTTTCAAAGAATTAATAAAAATCTTTTTTATGAATTGACATTTTTGACTTTTTGATACCACCAGAACTTCGTAGAAGAAAAAATTTTCTCCTCAAATTTTTCCAAAACCCCATGTAAAAGACTTTATTTTTCATGTTGATCAAAAACAATGCATCCTTAAAATGGAGAAAAAAAACTAAATAATAATGGTGAAAAATGTACGATGCTACTACTACATGGATTGGACGGTGGTTCATCAGCATACCATTGCTTTTTTTCATATGAAAACATTTGAAAAGCATCAGATTTTATTTTCCAAAATATGAAAGTTTAAGCAAAGTTTACTTGATATATTCATTTCAAGTCAATTTAGTTCGAGAAATACTATATATGTCAAAATACTACCGAAAATGTTAGCATATTTTCAGTATTTCGCCATTGTAAAGTCTTAGCACATTTTTTATCTTATTTTGACGAAGATTCTCAGATAGACCATAAAAAACTATCTCGAATCGTATATATAACTTGTTCACTAGAGCCCGTCGAGCTGGTCCTAGAAGTGGTCGAGTCCTGGTCTAAAAATTTTCTGTTGACCGGGTGCGAGTAAGGATCCGAAAATTTTGGATCCAACGAAGTCTCTTGTTCACAGCAGATCATTTTGCTGTAGTAAAAATCAAAACAAAAAGATGAATCATGCCTGTTGCTGAAATACTTTCAATAATATGAAACATTTTGGAGCTTTATCGATTGATTTTAGGTTTGAATCAATTTAGGCTAATATAAGGAAGAACGAGTCTGTGACTTATTTTAACAATAAAATACTCTTTTCATAATACGATATTCAACTCCTGGGAAAAAAAATTATTCGAATCTTTGAGAGTGCTAAAAAGAAGCTAAAAACTTCATTTTGAAACGTCGCAAAACTAAGTGGTACATTCCGCCACATGTTCTTTCATCATTTTTTAACTTTAACTAATACTGCTTGAAAATCTTATTATTATGACTGTATAATTTTACGATTTGTATGCGATAATGTTTTAATAATAGAAATTTCACTAGGTTCAAAGTTGAGTCTTGTCTTCTGTATTTTCAAGTCTTAATTGAGACTATTGATCAATTATTGTCTCCATTCAGTGTCTTTTTCTCATTTGTTATCCTGATACTAGTTTGACATGCTTGTTTTCTTCTGTTGACTTTATAATTATTATGTTCCCATGTTCATAGTTTCTTTGTGCTTTTATTATTTTTTTGTATTTTTCGAACGTAGTTTTCTTTTCTTCAATAGACTTTTTGCTTTCATCATACTACTCTTTTGTACTTGATCAGTTTTCTTTTTTGCTATCTGACTATGACATAATTTCTTGCAATCGCTGAACCCATGGGTTTTTAATTTAAGGAAGAAAAGTCGATATACTAACATCAATAAAGTGTTCAACGAAAACTAAATGCTTTACAAAGCTAAAGCTCGATGAGCTACAACAAGTGTGACATGTTTATTATCTTGACATATACGTCGAATTAATTCAACACCCATTGAATGTGTTACCCATTGCAAATTAGCACTAGTACAATTGGTTTTAATTTCTAAAAGACGATCACCAATACAAAGTTGATTATTATTTGTAAGTGTTGCTAATAAACCATTTGGATCAATGTGAGAAATAAATAAACCAGAATCCTTAGTATTTCTATCTAATCCACCACTAACAGTAATGCCAAGTGGTTGATTTAATAAGTCAGATGGTATAGTTATATCAACATGTTCAATATGTGCAGGATTTAAACGTCGAATATGAAGTGATATAGGTTGACCTTGAGTTGAAGAAAAAGCTTGAACAGCTTCGTCATGAGTTACATTAGTTAAATTGATGGTATTAATCGAAAGAATACGATCAAAAAGACGAAGGTTAGTTCGTCCATTATCGAATGATGATTTCGAACAATAATCAATATGTGTTATAATAATTGATGGACCATGTTCAGTATCAATACCACCACTGATGGTAAAACCATATCTATTTAAATTATTGTTTAAAGGTTTAATTTCGATAATTTCATCCGTCCAATAGTTTTCAATAGATTGATATTGTTGTCTGTCAATTGATGAATACGGTGGTGGTAATTCCTTAACATGTAACAGTTGTGTACCATCTGAAAGTTCATTGCGATTGAGTATATGAAGATAAGTACCGATATGCTGTTTCATATCGTTATATTGATGAATATATTTATATATTTTAACAAAAGACAAAAAAAATGAATCAGAATGAAAGATAAGACAATTTTATGTTAATAAATATTTGTTAAAGCTTATCAAATTTATCCAAACGGTAGTGAATCATTAAATGATGTAGTCATTGGCTAATGACAACATGTCAACAATAAACGATATACATTTTTTTTCGTTCGTTCTTTTCTTCTTTCATTTAAATCCTTTTTTATCCTTCGAAGTTTAAATATAAGTTTGTATCAACTATAATCGATTTGAAATTGATTTCAGAAGAATAAAACGTTCATTATAATTAATACTATTGAATTGATTGCAATACTTCATAAGATCAGAATCTCGTATGAACACTATAACATTCAATGCAAATATAAGATCATCTTCAATAAGTTATCTGTTGTTGCTTTAAAAAAGAAAAAAATATTTGTTACTTTAAATGAATATTTGAATGTCTTTAATCTTCATTCAAATAAGACAAAGAATAATTTTTTCCTTAAAATAATTCTATTATATAAAAAAGAAACCTAATTGACAGCAACATATGTATTGCGTATTTCCATTCAACGATCGCCTATTTGCAAACGTCCTTTATTCGGTGTCGGACTTTTTGTTTTAATACCAATAACAAATAAATCTAGATCATTATTATTATTCTTTCCAATGCCGCCATTAATCCTAAAGCCAAGTTTACGTGAATTTATAAAGTTATGTTTCTGTAAATTAAGCTCAATAGTTTCAACAATCACTGATTGTAACCGACGAGTATGTATTTTAACTATTTGACCTTGATCTACCCCCTAATAATACGTTGAGTTGTTTCTTTTGTCATATTTATAAAACTTATGTCATTAAACAAAAGGATAATATCAAATGAATGAATATTCCAATACTATTTTGAATATTTGTAACATCAATTGAATGGTTTACTTCATTAACACAAATCAGTGAATTTCTTGTACTCTTAATTAGTTTTTTACTCATTAAAATATCAATATTCATATTAAATTTAATCATATGATAACCATACATAATTTTTCTCATAGATTTTCATTTTTTTTTAAATAGTACTGATGAAATTATAATAACTGCTATTTGCATCAATTGTTGACGAAATAAATACCAAGGATTGTTGGTCGATACCATATCACTTTTCCTTTTTTGTTTTGTTTTACTTAACTAAATAACTTACAACTGAACTTCCCAAACATATATTTTTTAAGAATAAATATTCTTTATCTTGTATGCATAACTAGTCTTGATATTTAAATCATATATCAATGATTTCCTATCTTTTATTTTTAACTTCATCTTCTTCACCACGAGCGCGTTTACGAACAAAAAAGAAAAAAAACGAAGAAGAATCAATCTTCTCTCTCTCGCTCTCATCTCATATTCATAATTGATGATTTCTTTTCGAATCCTTTATATATAAACATCAACATATCACTAGTAAACGTTAACTATAAAATAGTAATAAAGTAGTAAAATGACAAGAAGAAAAACATAAGAACAAAGCATAAAACTTCTGTACATTATTCCCCTCATCTCTTTTTTAGCATTTTCTTGTTTGTTAAACACACACACACACACACACACACGCACACAAACATGTGTCTAATGCTAAGTTTAGATATATTAAAAAAAAATAATAATGTATAACAAATAGTGAAGAAAAAAAAAACGCTCGAATTAAGATATGAGATAGATAGAGAGAGATGATTAAACCATCTCTTGTGATGTGTATGTAGAATAGTAAACAAAAGAGAAGAAAAAAAGAAAACAGGAAAATGACACGTCACAACAAGATGAATGCAAGCATATACTGTAATAAAAAGACAAAAGAAAGTAGTGACTAGAGATGAGGAAGAAAAACAAACGGAAGATCGAGCAATATTCACGGATACATAATATCTTCAATTTTCTTCAATAATTCTTTTGTATAATCAATGGCTTGTTCAGCTTGAGCTAAAAACAAAAAATAAAATAATCAAAAATAAAATAAAATAATGAAATAAACTTACAAACAGTGAATACTTCAGCTGGAATTTTAGCAAATCGTGCTGCATTAGGATATTGCATTCGATTTGGATCACCAATCCATTTATATAATTTATAACCTATTTCTCGTACATCATTATCAACACCAATTAATAAACCTGGTATATCAGCTGTCATATTTTTGCCTGTATCCTTATAATAATGATAAGCTTTTAGGGCTTTTTCAGCTGCCTAAAATTCAAATAGTTTATTAAGTTTTCATAATTAAAAAACAAATCTTGCTAATGATTATGATGAAATTTAAAGAATATATTGATAATTCTTATCGAATATATGAATTTGTTTGACATAATAATTGATTATGAAAAAAGAAAAACATACTCTTATCCAAAAAATATCAAACATTGATTCTTCTGATATATTCAGCATACATTTGTTTTTTAACTAACATATGTGTGTAGATTTCAACTCATATGTCAATGTTTCAATTATTTATTCTGATAATGCCTCTGAGAGATGTTTTTGAAACATGCGATGAATGCTGTTTCATTTTTTATTCAGTTGAATTGCAATAGCAATAGAGAGCCTAGACCAGCATTTTATCTAGATTTTCTCTTCTGGAAGGACGATTTAAAACTCCACAATGATGAATACATATGTTTTTTGAGCAGAAAAACATAGTACATAGTACAATAATCTCAAACTTCAGGAGAGCCAACTTGATTTTCAGAGAAGCGCTGACTCCTATGCTTTACACAACACTAGTGTTGACCGTGGTAAAACATATATGTGTTCAATATAGCCATAGTCTATTCTAGACATTCTCGTTTTTCACTTCAAATATGATCTTATTTTCAATCAAATTGCGACACAATTCTTTCTCTTTGCCGATTTCAACCATAAATAATTCCATAGGAATGATGCATTAAGATAAAGAAATTGTATTTATTTTGTCCAGTGAAACAACTATATACAAAACATAAATGTTTTATAAAAGAAAAACACACGAATTCATTTGTGAGTTTCTTATTAGCTGAAGCATTGGTAATTAAGATGAAATTTTCATCCATATGCTATTTGAAAAATAAATGTATGTTGAGTATATTACAGGAATCAATGTTTGTTATCTTCAACCAAAGGTCTGTTTTTTTTTATCACCATTGTTCATGTCAAACAAATTCATATTTTCGATAGAAATCATCTATTTACACCTTAACTTTGAAATATTCATCACTTCTAAGTGTCTTATTTGATGTATAAATTTAAGTCGGATCAAAACATGTTTAATGGAGATATTAGTACAGCAGTATAACAACGCTATTAACAGTAATAAATATATATCGTTGTTGAAGACATCTCGAAAACAGAGCTATCCTAAGATGTCTTATCACTCATTGAGATTTATTATTTAGTGTCTATCCTCAATTCAAAAGTGATTTGACTATTAGGAATGTTCTCTTGTAAGATCGGAAAAAAAAGATCTCGATAAGACCATAATGAATATTTTACTTTCGTTATCTATTTCGATAGATGGATTTCTTTTTGAAAACTTACTCGATAACATTTATAACAAACCCAATCATATGCAACTTGACCAGTAGATGAATGCATATCACTGTATGAACTTTCTAAATCATGTTGAGCTTGTTTAAGCCATCGATCGGCTTCAGATTGTTGATAATTACGTTTACGACGGGAATTTGGACTTTCTTCTATTATAAAGAAAAACAAAAATTTGATTAAATAATTATTTATATTTTATAATTTATTTGTTTAATAATTATTATAAGATAATAAGCATTCTACGATCAATAATACTCCCACGTTTATCCAAAAGCAAAGAACACTCACCAAAAATAGGATCCGAGACTAATATGAAAAAAAAAGAAAAAGAAAAAGAAAAAGTAAAAACAACTGTTCTGTGCGTGTGTAGACTACATGCAAATAAACTACATATATATATAAACGAAAAACTTACTTCCTCCAGTTGATGATGATGATGTTTGTGAATGTGTTGTATTATTTGTAGTATTTGTATTATTAGTTGTATTTTCTTCAGTTGGAGTAAAAAATCCATGACGTCTTGGAAAACCATGTTGACGACGATATTGCCATTCTTCACGTGCTGTACGAAATGATGATGAACGATGTGGACTAAAACGTGTTTTATTTGCATCATTTGTATCTGTTTGATCTTTTGGTATATCTTGATAACTACGTTTTGTATCATCATTTGATTCTTTATTTAAATTATCAAAACTACCAAAACGATCATCAGCTGTTGTTGATGATGTACTTTGATGATGATCAGTCTTTGTTGTATTTGAATGTTTATTCCAACTAAATCTTGGATCAGATGTAGAAAATGGTGTATGATGAAAATTATTAAATGTATTAAAAAATGATGTTAATGGATCATTTTCAAAATGATCTATTTGTTTGCGTAAATGTTTAAAAACTTCAGCAGCATAACGTTCACGACCGGGATTTTTATCTGGATGCCATTTTAATAATAATTTTTTAACAGTTTTTTTACGTTCTTGTCCAGTTAATTGATATGCTTGTCGAACAGCATTATAGATTTCTGTTTTAGTTAATTCAAGTTCAGTTTTATCAATTTTATCTTGTTCATTTGTTTGTGCTGATTCCGATTCTGATTGTGATTCAGATGCTGCATTACTTGATGAATCACTATCAGCTGATGTTTGACCATATGGTTTAAAATTATTAAAACCATTGGTAGAATGTGAATCACTAGTAAAATCCTCAGCATTGTTGAATTTTTCTGAACGTTTTGAAGAGGAGTAAGCTTTTTCATCATTGAATTTATCTTTATCACCATTTTTGCCTATAGACGACACACGCACAGTGAATCAATTTTTTTATTTTGTAATTTCGGAATTTTAAAGGGAGGAGAGACCGAATGTCACTAAGTACGAAAAAGATTTTCTTATTAAGATTTATTTCTCAGAAATGTAAAATATCTGTTATTTAAATCAGAGATTTGCGACGCTTACACGTTTCGAAGGCGTAAAATCATTTCTTCGATATTTTTCTAAATCATCTCAAAATATGAGATGGCACAACATACGCTCTATAAAGATTTGCGTCATGTTAGATGATGGGTACGCCAGAGAGTTTCGAAGATCTCTGATTTGTATTCTTTTAATCGAAGATAACTCATTTTAGTGGAACACACATTATGTTGTTCGAAGAAAAATATAGTGAATGTAAGTGTAACTATTTTGCAGCTTCCACCTTCAAAGCAATGATGGGAAGAGGTAAAGACCAATGGTCATTGGATATATTTCTATAACAACTGAGGATAACAGGTGGCAGACTCCTTTTTCGGAGTTTATTAACAACGAAGCAAAAGCGCCAAATGACTTTCCGAAAAAATTCTGGAACGTTCCAAAGCATTCATTGAAACTTGAATGACTGGAATACGTTTGTGAATGTCCTAAATAGTTTAAATTTTGGTTTTTGCCCACATAAAAATTTATATTCAATATGTTAAGGATGATAGGTAGTCGTGCATTGATTTGCAACAGTCTTCATATGATCAATATTAAAAATGTGAACTAATTAAGTTATAACTTTGGGAAATAACCAATACCAGTGTTTCTGAACTTTTTGAGGTATATAATGGTGTGTTGAAACATGCTGTTATATGTATAACAAGCTTATTTCCCATTTATATCAATGGTCAGAATAAGAATAATGTTAAATTAAACGAAACAAGATACGGAAATGAAAAATAACGAGCGAGTAGCAGCAAGACAAATAAAAAAAGAGCGCTAGTAAGAAAAAATTCTATTCGAAATGCAGAAATAAATGCAATAGACCATCTCTGTGACGATCGATTATTTATTATCTGCTAGAGATTTTTCATTTGATTTATTTTTATAATAGTATCATGAAATCAAAGAACATATGTGAGTTCCACAATTCAGTCCCAAAAGTGCTGTACTGATAATTTTTTTTAATCACTGGATGTATTTATCAATTATAAATTAAAATTTTGAAATTTAAAATCTTAGTCATAATGACGCTTTATATGTTCTTTGTTTGTCAAATCAATCTTTTACGTGTTTTGTATTTTTATTTTGAATGTGTCCAAACTCGAGACTATTCGATCTCTCCATTCATTGATAAAATGAATACTTTATTCTTAAACAAATAGTTTCAATTAGATAAAGGACAATACGTATTTAATACCCGCACTAATAACTGAGAGAATATATGTTATGAACCCAAATCACCATAATCTTTATCAATACTAGATTCAAGAATAAGCAAATGATAAGCAGAAAATAAAACAAGAAGTTAAAGCAGTGCACATCAATGTCATTCGGTCTCTTGTCTCTATCTATATTTTTTTCTTCATAATTATTCTTACCTTGTGTAGTTGTTGTTGTTGATGATGATGATGATGATGATGATGATTTAAATGAATCTCTTTCATCAACTGGTTTTGTATGTACAGCATCAAATATTCTTGACCAATGCTCAAGTACATAAAAATTTGATGCTTCTACTTTTTGCATTTCATTAGCATCATTTATTTTACATATAAATGCATATAATAATGATGAATCAGATTTTTTATATGACCATTCATCTTTATTATCATTTTGTTCATTTGAATTTTCTTTTATAATTTTTTCAACTTCACAATAAATATATAAATCATTCATACGATAAACACATAAATCTCCTGGTAAAACTTGATGTGTTTCTATATTAAATTGTTGTAATTGTTCAACATCATCACCATAAACATTACCTGGTGATGGTATATATTGTAATTTAAGTATAGATAAAATATTTTCTTCCGTAGCTACATTAACTAAATTTAATAATTTGGACATTTGTCCAATTGTTGTTGCTAATAAAGCAGCCATAACAGAATTATCTAATTGTAATTCTGATAAACCTAAACATGGACTTAATGCACGTGCTAAACATAATGTAAAATATGGTTGTTCAGTATGTTTCATACTAATATATAAAATAATATTTTCTTCTCCTTCAGCAACTAAATAAACAGCTTTTTCATCAACTGATTGATCAACTTTTTGTTGTGTTTTTTTATAAATTAAATTTGTTTCAAGATATTCAACACATGTTACTTTAACAAATGTTAAACGTTGACGTATTAAATTTTCAACATCATCAATTGATATTATTTTAGGATTTTGTTGTCGTGCAACATGATTAGCTATAACACGTGCCATACAACGATGTAAATGACGTGATGATAATAATTGATTATATTTTCTTTCAAGATTAAATAAAAATCTTTGGCGATGAGATTCTTCATCTTCAGGTATTGTTATTGAAAATGATTCTTCATATTTTTGACTAAATAATATTGGACGTTGACTGACAAATATTTTATCAACAATATCACGTAAAGTTGTTGGTGATGGTGTTTGTTTTGAATTTGATGATGGATCTAATTTAAGTACACGTTCATTTGGATTAAACATAAATTTATCATGAACTAATTTTGTCATATAATCAAGTTTTGTTTTATCATCCATGATAACAATATCATTCGATTTAACTAATTTAAAATCATTCGAAACAAGATAAAGACCTAGAAAATAATAATAAAAAAAAATTGAATAGTTTCGAACTTGAAAAATTTGAATCGTTAGTTGATTTCTTGAAATTTTCGCTTGTAATTTTTCTAGACAAACTAACTATTGGTTTAAATTCCTCACTCTTGAAAACATATGGTCAAAATTAATACGAAATCATAATTTTCTTAAAATAAGGCACTTTCAAATGAGATCTAGACTAGACTTATGAATAGTATTAAATACATATTTATACATGCTCTGCATGATAGAATTCAAATTATAGTGAGTGGTTGCTCAAGTCTGATGGAAAAGTAACCGATCAAAAGTGAGCCTACAAAATAGCATTATCGAGAAGAAAACTGATTTCATTCCACAATACACGAACACTTGAGGAAGACTTTTACCGGCATTTTTTCTTCTTCTTNTGAACTAATTTTGTCATATAATCAAGTTTTGTTTTATCATCCATGATAACAATATCATTCGATTTAACTAATTTAAAATCATTCGAAACAAGATAAAGACCTAGAAAATAATAATAAAAAAAAATTGAATAGTTTCGAACTTGAAAAATTTGAATCGTTAGTTGATTTCTTGAAATTTTCGCTTATAATTTTTCTAGACAAACTAACTATTGTTTTCAATTCCTCACTCTTGAAAACATATGGTCAAAATTAATACGAATTTCATAATTTTCTTAAAATAAGGCACTTTCAAATGAGATCTAGACTAGACTTATGAATAGTATTAAATACATATTTACACATGCTTTGTATGGTAGAATTCAAATTATAGTGAGTGGTTGCTCAAAGTCTGATGGAAAAGTAACCGATCAAAAATGAGCCTACAAAATAGCATTATCGAGAAGAAAACTGATTTCATTCCACAATACACGAACACTTGTAAGCAAAATCATTGTATATTCAGAATCTACAAATCATTTTCCAAAAATGTCGAGCTTTTAGGTAAAATATATTTTTCTCTGCACAATAAATTTCATATAAGAAATTAATATAATACTCGAAATAAGATAGAAGACTCTCTAGACGAATCAATGTAAAAAACAAATTCGAAAATCCAGAACTTTTATTGTGTCCAGAAGATTTTAGTTTTTCAAGCAAAGTTTCACAGATGCTATTAAATTATTTTTGGTCAGATGCCATCTGTATATAAAGAATGTTTCTTCAGAAGTCAAATACTCATGATTACGCTGATAATCATTTTCACTTTTCGTCGATATCTAAGATCATGATCACTATGTAAATCTGTAACCACTGCTTCGTCCGAGAACATGTATTTGAACATCATCACAAATTAACAAATTAATATTTCTTCAGTTTATGATATGGTGTGGATGTGCGTCATCTATTCGGTAAAACTTACACACAAGTTTCATTCGCCTCCGTGAAATTTTTGAATACCTCGACGTTTTCGATGCCTCACTGGCTTCAATTAATGACTAGGGTTTTAAGCCACAAAAAAAAACATGTTTTTAAGAAGAAGAAAAAATGCCGGTAAAAGTCTTCCTCAAGTGTTCTTCATCAAAAGCTTTCTGTTTCAAAAAAAAAAAAAAAGTTTATTTTTTGTTACATATAAGCCTGTGTTGCTAAAAATGCACATTATACCCTGCAGTATTATGTGAAATTATATTGAGAAAAATATAGGAGTAGGGTGAAAATGCCTACCCTGCACATTTTACCGAGACCGACAAGCTTGGTGTCGGTAAACAGGGGTGTTTTTTGAAACGAATATTTTCCTTTAATTCTCAAGTTTCACTTTCCTAACTATGGTAAATTTCTACAATATGAACTAACAATTAATAAAATTTCTTTATTTTCAATGGAATTCTTCTACTAACAATACCATAATATGTTCTTATCTTTTCATCTATCAATCTTTTAAAAACTTGCTTTTATATTAATAAATGTATTAATTCTTGTCTTTTCACAGATTATTCTCTTGAGTATTATTAAAAAAAATGATTTTAGACTTAATGATAAAAAATATGTATATAAATCATTGTCATTTTCTTACCAGGTAATCTAGTTTGTGCAGTAATTGTTGTACTTGCTGTTAAATATTTAAAAAAACATTCCATAGCTTTCAAAGATTTACATAATTCATTTGAATTTAAATAATCTTGTTCACAAACTTTTGATAATTTTCTTAATATATCACCATATAACATAGGATGTGGTTCAGATTTCGTACCAATTTGTAGAAAAAAGTCTTTATATTCATAAAAATCATTATCTAATGAAAAAACAAATGGTGGAATTTCATCAGTTACAGGTAAATTTAAACAGAAAAATTTTGCTTGTAAAAATTGACGACGTGTTCGAGAATAAATACATTCACGATCTTCTAATTCTTTATAAATTTCAGTACGACGTTCAACTTTAATTTCATGTTGAAAATAATGATAGATAGATTTCAATACTGGTATTAAAATATCATCGATCATATGTTGTGTTATTTGTATTGGAGATTTTACTTCACTAAAAACAAAGAAATTAAAATAAGAAGAATCAAAAAAATTCATTTAACACACTTGAGTTTTTCATATTTTAATGAAAATTTTTTTGCTAAATTTGCAAGATTTTTTTGTACTAATGCATATGATGGTTTTTTATTTAATTTAAAAAATTCTAATGCATTTTGTTCAATTGCCTCTTGTTGATCATTTAAATCATTATAATATTCAAGACGAATAAATTCTGGTAATAAATATGATGATGCCCAACATAATTTAGCATCTTTTAATAATTCACCATCACTTAATTTAATACATGTAAAACGAAAATTATCATTTGGATTTGTATCTGGCGAATTTGTATATTGTTCATGTAATTGTAATAATTCATCATTTTCTAAATGCATTTGATATGGTTCAAGAAATTTATAATCTAATATTGAATTATCATAACGTGTCCAATTTGTTAATAAATGTTCATATAAGTATTTTGAACGTTTACGTTGTTCATTTGTCCAACCATCTTGTTTAATATTAACTTGAATTGATTCCATTATTTGTTTACATTTATCTGTTGATATATAAGAACGAAGACCACATTCTTTAAGAAATTTTAATAATGTTGGTGTATGAAATTGTTCATCAGGAAAATGATGAACATCTAAGATAGAACGAATATTTTTTATATTAGGATCATATAATTCATAGATTGAACAGATTTCAGGTGAATCACGCTAGAAAGAAAAGAACAGAAAAAAAAATATGAATCAGAAAGAAAACTCAAGAATTTGTTTTATTTTACCGATGCTCTTGACATTCCTGTTGATGGTTTTTGTGAGTAATCGCTATTATTCATTGATATTTGTGTAAATATCTCTAAATGATCATGTAACTGTTTTCTACATTGTTCTTTTTCATGTGGAAATAATTTTTCATCAATATCTTCAATAAAATATTTTAATAAATTTGCTTGAGATTTAACATCTAATTTTCGAAAATATGGTAAACATAATTGTAAAAATATTTCCAAATCCGATAAAATATTAAAGCGTATATGAGAAAATATTTTACTTAATGGTTCAATTTTCTTTTGCATTAATAAAACAGTTTTTTTTTCATGAAATTGTTCACTAAAAAAATTTCTTTTAAATGATCGACGAATTATATTTGACCAATCTTCATTTAAAACATAAACATGAGCAAAATTTTCCAAAGAACAACATTGTTGAATAGGTATTTGTTGTTGTTGTTGTTGTTGTTTATCATCAGTAGAAATGGTACCCCAAAGTGGTTTGTAAATTTTTAATTCACGCAATTTTTGAAAATTACCTTGATAACCATGTATTAAAAAATCATTAAAATATTTTAATATAATAACAATATCATCATCAGATAAATTATTTGTTATTTGTGTATGTTTATTTAATTCAAGTAAAAATTCCAAAACAATATTTGGATTTAATTCATCCATATTTTCAACTAATTGAGGATTTATATGTGGATCATCAAGACGTGCCAAAATAGATTCTAATTTTTTATTACCAAATATTTTTGGAAATACACGCGAAGGATTTGTTGTTGACATATTTGTTGTAGCAGTTTGAGATTCTGTTAAAGGAACTGGTGGTGGCGTAGATGCCCTTACTGTTGCTGTGACTGTGGGAGTTTTTCGTACTTTTACACCAGCTTTTAGACAAACACGTCGATCAATTGATGGATGCACATAATGTTCGTCTTGTGATGATGAAGATGGATTTGACACTAAGACAACAGAAAAAAGAGTGAGAGTTACATCAACAAAATGAAATCTGAGAGACATTTAAATATTTTAACAAAAAAAAAACACACACACATACACACACTCTCTCGCTTTTTTTCTTTACAATTAGTTTCAGATGGAACTTTGAAGAAAATCGTGTGATTACTACGTTTTAATGGCGTCGTTGACATTCTATCGCGTCGGAGTTTGTATTAGTAATACGGTTACTTTCTGTACATTGACAAATGCTGCCACAACAACCAATAATTGCATCGATAGTAGGAAGCATAAGAAGATGAATGACAGAATAGAGAAAAAAATGTGCTCTTGCTTTGAAATACAACAAGAAGAAAAAGAAGCCAATGATGCTGACGAACGCAAGGCTATGGTAGTAATAATGCAAATAACTATCGCCTTTGTTTAGATGTATTGTGTATTCAGTCAAGTACTTGTGAAATGTAATGTAGAAATCATTAAAAATGAATATTTTTATATTTAATTGAATACATCAATAATCTGACATTATGTTTCGAAAAGGCTAAAGAGCATGTGATGTTACGGATGAACTAGCTCACCTATGAAATGAAGGATACACATAAAGGATAAACAAAAAATGGTTTAATTCAATCAAATAGCATATGACTTGAGTAAATCAATTTATTAAAACTTACGTATATGTTCTCGTTCGAATGGATAAAAAAATAATGTTGGACCAGGATGAAGAACACAATCAACATTTGGTAAATGTAAAATAATATTTGTATTAAAAACATTTGAATATTGTTCAATTAATAATGTATAAATATTTTGTAATAATGTTAAATCATCTTTATCAATTGGTTTTGTTCCATATTTTTTTTTAATTTGTTCAATTATATTTAAAAGATCTTTACCGTCAATTTGTATTTTAATTTGTAATAAATCAAGAAAAAAATGTTTATAATATTTATGTAATGTTATTGGTAACGGATAAAAATATGGTTTTAAACTATTTGATAATGATGTACGACTTGGTGCGTGCCATAGTAATTGCGACAATGACAAAAATAAATATGTATCGGTTGATGATGAATCATTCATATAAATAAGACGACGTTGAGAAAAAAATTCTCGTACGTCTCGTATAGATTGTTCTAATTGATTAGATTTTATTGTTGATGTACGTTGTTCATTTGATTTTAAATGTGGGAAACAGTATGATTGAATATAATCATATATTGAATAACTCATGTCTAAAAATAATTTGTACGTATACATATACGTATGAAAAAAACTAGATGGCTTTGAAGATTATTTTCAAGGGCAAATAGTAAAAGAATGTAAGGATATCTCGATAATCACTGGCAGACAAATAAATTCTCATATTTTGTTGTTATTGAGGAATATCGAAGATATATGATCGTCGCGCTATTTCATGAAACTCATCCAAATACAATCGATGAGAGATAGATAGAGTGAATACCAAAATTATTTAATAAGGTTTATCTTCAGTTTTTTGTTCGTTGTCATAAACGTTAGAAGGAATTCAAATAGTGATTCGACAAGAGAACATGTTTCTTCGATAGAATGTACAGAAATAAAAATGACTATTAGATTAGCAAAGATAGAGACTCTAGAAAACCAAAACCCCAGTTTTCAATATCGAGAGTACGTAAATACAAGTTTTTTTTTTTGAACGCATAAAGCAATAGAATGAACAATTCTCTACAAAATAAGATGCTGCCAAGTTCTCTAAGACATTTTTTAGTTGAAATACAGAAATTTAATTGAAAGTCAAAAAACGGTTCTTCCATAGGGTCCTAGTAAAACAACGATTTTAGGGCCGTCTGTAACATTGGTGTAGCTCAGCTAAAAAACGTTGCAGAGAACTTGGAGACGAGTCATTTTGTAGAGAATGATTTGCTCTATCACTCTATGTACTCTAAATGAAATTATATATAACCGCTTTAGGTACTGAAAAACCAGTCTTTTGGTTTTCTGAAGTTCATGTCTTTTGGAGTCTAATAATAATTTTTATTTCCTTATATAACTTTGGGAAACAACTTTCCATATTAAAATCACTATTTGAATTTCCTCTGACGGTAACAGCCACGGCAAAAAATTGAAAATAAGCCTTGTTAAATAATTTTGATATCTGCTGTATATTGACAGCATATACTAATTAGAAATAGTAGGCATAGTTAGAATAGTCTGGCTCATGTCGGAGACACTAAAAATTTTGGCACATTATGCTTTTCCACGACTTTCTAGTAAAAATAATGCTAAAATTTATCGAATTTTTGTTAACAGAAAGTGTTTTTATTTGATGTTCTGCCAGAAAAAAGGCAAATAGTTTTTAAAAACTCGGTTAGAGAAAATGTAGCGGAAAGTTTGATATTTTTTTCAAATTTGTCCACACCCTCTTCTATCGGATAGCGAACTTCAAGAGTTTAGTACGATTCGTATGGAGTTGCAGCATTCTGTCGATTTTACCTTTACGAAATGCTTCAAGATACTATTTAAAATATCTCTCATTGATTTAAATAGAATTGAAATATTTCTTGTATGTATAATTCTATAGGATAGTGAAGAAGACGCGGTTAATTTTTCATTCGAATTTATAGAATCTCAATAATTTTTGTTTTTGTCTTCATATAAAAAGATGTGCTGTGAAACTCTCTACAAAAATTCGTATTGAATGTATTATATTAAAANTGCTGTATATTGAAAGCATATACTAATTAGAAATAGTAGGCATAGTTAGAATAGTCTGGCTCATGTCGGAGACACTAAAAATTTTGGCACATTGTGCTTTTCCACGACTTTTTAGTAAAAACAATGCTAAAATTTATCGAATTTTTGTTAACAGAAAGTGTTTTTATTTGATGTTCTGCTAGAAAAAAGGCAAATAGTTTTTAAAAACTCGGTTAGAGAAAATGTAGCGGAAAGTTTGACATTTTTTTCAAATTTATCCACACCCTCTTCTATCGGATAGCGAACTTCAAGAGTTTAGTACGATTCGTATGGAGTTGCAGCATTCTGTCGATTTTACCTTTACAAAATGCTTCAAGATACTATTTAAAATATCTCTCATTGATTTAAATAGAATTGAAATATTTCTTGTATGTATAATTCTATAGGATAGTGAAGAAGACGCGGTTAATTTTTCATTCGAATTTATAGAATCTCAATAATTTTTGTTTTTGTCTTCATATAAAAAGATGTGCTGTGAAACTCTCTACAAAAATTCGTATTGAATGTATTATATTAAAACATGAAAATGAAAAATTTCATGAAGAATGATAAGAAACTTCAAAAATGTTAACTTTCTAATCAAAAACACGACTTTTTGACATTTTTATTTTTCTCTATGCTAAGATATGAAAATCTAACTATCAACTTTGTAGTCCTGGAAGAGCTCTATCTTTGTCTTCTAATTAAAAACAAATCTTATCACGGACAGATAAAAAAAGAATTTCTTCTTTTTTGCATTTCTTTTGACTTAAATCATCACTTGTGAACAACATTTTAACGCCAACGTAGAAAATTTTTATATCTCGTGGAAAACAGAGCATTTTGGACTCAAATTATATCCAATTAGAAGACGATCAATTGGCTGAATGAAACAATAAAATTTTCTATGTTAATCGATTCGTTTCAAGAACATCATTCTTTCTATTGTAACACTAACACTATGAGAAAGAGCAGATTGGACGGTAATCATATCATTCGTCGACAAACTTTTGTCAACAACATTTCGTCGACAGCATTTTGTCGACAGTATATTTTGTCGACAAAAATTTGTCGAAAACATATTGTCGACAGATATTTCGTGGACAAGAAGTTGTAAAGTAGTGCCAACGTTAGGAAGCATTACCCTACTTCTTTAAACTGACCAAGCAGATACAACCGAAAACAACAAGAATGTGGGTTTAGATACAGATATGGTAGCAGATGCAAGTGTGTATGGGTATATGCGTACGTATGGACATGAGTGCCGAATAAAGGCACGAGAGTCCAGAGCAAGTTCTAAACTGACGATCTGATGCGAAAAACGAGCTGATCTAAACTGTTCTAACGACTGAGCTCGCACTGTGAGCTGGTTAGACGAAGCTCAGTAGCGGAACGGAGGTGTTCAGAGCTCATTGTTGTTCTCTCTTGAGATGGAAATGCCAGCGCTCAGTCTACTATGCTAGAAGCATTAGTTGGGATACTAAAAGGCCACGTATGATGATAGAGTCCTTCCCAAGACACTATCAATGATCTAGTATGCTCGAGATCATCTGGGATACTATAAGCATTATCTAGGATGTTGATAGCGTCGACTGGGTTGCTAGCAGCATAACTACGGATCCTTTATCATTAAAGGTGATGCTTATTTTATCCTTTCTGATCCAATATGATTTTAGGCATTTCTTAGCACCCCAGGTAATTTCTTAATAGTCCCATGTGGTTCTATAGAACTCATAGGTGGTGCTTCCAGCATTCTAGGTTATACTTTTTGCACTAAAGATGGAGCTGATAATACTAGAGTACCAAGATGAAACAGTAAAGGTCTCATGACTAGACATGTGCATGACTAATTCTGGTACCGGTGTTAGAATTGAAAATCTCTCTATAGCCTCGAAGCATAATAAACTTTCGAAAACTACGTTTTGTAGAGATATCTTTTCTCTACAATATAAGGCTAACGCGAACACTATGTGATTATCATAGCCGGAGAAAATGGTGTCAGAGTCGACCGAGACCACCACGGGAACCGGGACCGGGACTAGTTTGGTCCCGGTCATTATACTTGCTAAATTATTTCATAACGAGAATCTGTAAAATATTTTAAAACATACAGGCAGAAAGAGCAAAAATTTCTCCACACGATACATTGTTACAGAATAATTTAAGAATGCAGCTGATGAAATAGCAGGTCAATGTTTGACCGGAACCAGCAAGTGTTTTTCGGTCCCATGCACGTCTCTATATCAGACACATATTATCTCGCAGAGAAGAAGAGAAAAAGTTAAATGGAAAAGACGAAGCAAAAGTTATACATCAGATAAAAACAAAGAGATCAGCGAAACAATCGATTAAAATTCATCTTGTAATAGATGATGTGTCGTCGTGGTGTGTGAGTGTGGATGTGAGTTTAAGTGCATGCTGATGGAGTATGTACGTGTGTATGCGAGTATGTGCTGGTTTGGTATGTGAATGTAGGCTTGCGTATGAGTGTTGATGAAAGTGTGAACGTCCTCTCCACCTAAACCCACATCGTCTAAGGACTCTCACTGTGTGGCAACAAATTTTTAGAGAAATGAAAACTATTAATCATTCAATAGCTCATGATAGAGACCAAAAAAAGAGAGTATCACTATTAAAATCGTATAGTTTGGTGTCGCTAAAAATATATGTTCCTTTTTTAGTCAATGTAGATTAGTGCAAAAGATCGACGATGTTTATGAAATAGAGACATAGAATAAGTATCAAATGTTCATTTCATTTACTATAAAAATATCTTGTAAACTTGCTTCATTTTAAATAAAAATTATTTTGAAAAGTGATGAATTATTTTTTTTTTGCAATAATATTGTAAACAAACCTAGCACTTATACATATCACAATGTATGCATCAATGACTCCATGGTCGACATCGAAAAAACATTTTCGAAGGTATTTTTATAAACAACTGAATCAACAGTTTGAAGCACTAAGTCCCGAGAGAAGACAATTATTATTCTATCACGCGGAATACATAATCAAAAAACCTTCACTTGTTTGACTTGAACAAAAACCTAACAACATAATATATTTATAATTTACATATCGTCTATGAACCAAGTTCAGGTAGAAGACAAATAAACATCGATGAAAAATGTTACTGAAAAAGCATAAGCTTAGATATTCTCTCTTTTTTGTTTTGTTTTTGGAGCTTCTCAGTATTTTTCGTACAGTTTTCGATCTTCATATTTTGTCACAAGACATTCAATACGAATTTTGAAAAGAATTTCATAGCGCATCATTTCGGTATGAAAAGCGAAAAAAATTTAATGAGATTATATATATATATAATTTCTTCAATGACTTACCAAGTATAGATTTCGATGTGATTTGATGATTATAAGTAGCTGAACTAGGACCATTAATAACGGTTAATTTAGTAAGTTCATCAAGTTGCTTAAGTACATCTCGTAATTCAATTTTATTTGTATCATCAAGACCAAGAAAATGTTCAACTTGTTTTGTTATAATTGATTGTTCTTGTGCATTTTTTGATTGTTGTGCTATTGGCCATGAACAACAAACTAATTGTTCATATTGTTGTGATAAAATATCTTTTGGTTTAAATAATCGACCAATATATTTATCACCCATCCATGTTAAACTAATACCATTTAATTCTGTAGGTCGTTGTTTTATTGGTATAAAAGGTAATTCACGTAATTGTAATGATGCACGTGAACGTGCTTCTTTATCATGCAATCCTTCATGTGTATGAACATTTGATGTTTGAGAATTAGTTGGTTTTTCACGTGATATTGATGATGATTGACGTGAACGACGATCTGATGAGTCATCATTTTCATCAAATGTTCGAGTGGTATTAGAATTTGATAATGTTAACATGTCATTAAGAATTTGAAGAAGTGCTAATGAACGTTCATGAGCTAAATCATAATCACGCATACGTTGAATTGATTCGCAACGTTCAACGAGTTCAGGCCATGTTACAAGATTATCATCACATTTCATGCCTAGATAATAAGAACAAAAGATTTCAAAAACTGTATTGATGTAAAATAAAATTCAGTTTTTATTGCTTCAAAACTTATGAATAAGAATGATTCATAGAAATTATTCACAAATATACTCCCATCTATTAGTAACTATTTGCCAGTTTATACCAATGCAAATATTACCGTCGTAAAATGCTAACAGATATGTATTGAAAGTCTCCTCTGAAAACATTCATAATTTGAGAAAACAATGATGAAAAACGGTGCTATTTAAAACTATAACTTTTATTAAGAAATGAGTGAAAATTACATCGGCTTGTTTTAATAAAAATGAAACACATCGTTTTTTTGCTATTTGATTTATGAGAGAATCATCGGAACTGGTACCCGCTGTTTAAGTTTCTATGGTGTTTAAGCTGACTGATGACCGATTCATTGGATTTCCTAGCCAATTTTTGGTATACATCGAAAAATCAAAAAGACAGTTTCGACGTAAAGCCTTGCCTGTTGATAATTCTAAATGATTTAGTGAATATTCTGAAACTGTTAATCGAAAAAAAATATTTTTTTTTTCAAAATATTGAATTTTCAAGTAAACTCGACCGTTGTGAAGTGTCTATACACAGGTGACTGAAGTACGATCCGTTACGGCCGGAAAATCAAAGAAACTTGGAAGCAGGAATTCGGTGATTGGATTTGGTAACCGGACATAGCCCACAGGTGGATAAGATCATCGAGTGGAAGTTCAATAGCTCGACAAAAGAATATGGTTTTCGACTGAAAATTTGTGGATATTCGAAGGGTTATTTGATCTGTCTATGGGCGACATTTCATGCCGAAATATGATTCTTGATTCTTCCTATATATTTAAAGTTAAGTCAGATATTTACTCTTTGGCTACCGGAGTGTCATATATATGATACTCTCATAACTAACGACTTAAGTAAAAAGATAATAACTTAGTTCTAAAGACCCATTAAGACAAATGCTTTTAGGCTTTTGCTAGTCTCACTAAGACATTATTGTAGATTCAATATAATCTTAAACGGCAGGTATCAATTCGGATTACTTCATCATTAAATTTAATATATAAAAGAGAATGTCCAATGAGTTGAAATTTTATTAATGCATGAAATATTAAAACTGTCGTTTAACTACGGTACATTTTTTCTGGATTTGAGCTTGTAAGAATGGTAAAAAAATATTCAAAATGTTGAGAAATCATTTAGTTTAATGAACACATGATTATTTTAAGCCAAATGACAAAATAAGATTTTTATGTTGAATTCTATTAAAATATCAATAGACTGATCTACATAAGAATATTTCCATTCGTCTTCGTTCAATACTCTAAGGTATTAGTGAAAAAATGATAATTATAACGACCAATAGAATTCGTAAATAAAAAAAAGATTTTTTTCTCCTTGAATAGTGTTGACACAATCAACGGATTATCATATATGATGATAGCTTTTTTCGTCAATCTTAGAAATCAACAGTTCATCAAAAATGAAGGATAAAAGATAGAGTTTGCTCATTGAATCCAGTTGTATATTTTCATAAACTATGTCGAACAAATATTTATTTTGTGAAACATCATTGTTAATAAGTAATGAATCTGAGTATGTAGAGACATAGATTACAATCAGATGTTGTATTATGTTGACGCAAATTATTGTTATTATATGAATCCAATTAAGCAGAGCTCAAGGAAAAGACAAAAAGAAAGCAAATATAACATATTTTGATTGAATAAATTAATAAGAAGAATTTTTAAAGCTTATGGAACTTGTACGAATAGGTTTTGGAACAAGGATTCAAATAAATCTTCTTCGAACTTTCACTGATGATAAAAATTACAGCGATAAAGTTAGACTATTGATTATATATCATAAAAAATTAGTTTATCTACCATCTGCTGTATTCCCTTGTAGACATTATAATCTACATAATGACAGAATGTTATATCTTACAAATGAAAATCTTGTTTATCTATTGTATTCAGTCTTTGAAAAAGAAAATTTTCTCTTACCAAGTAATTTTAAAACATTTAATCTATCTTCTCTTAAATACGAATCTTGTCCACCATATGGAAATAATGAGTCAATATCTGAATAAAGAGATGCTAAACGACAATATGGATGTATTAATTTAGATGGTTTATTTAAAATTCTTCCGTTTGGTGTACATGGTATACAGCAATGTTGTTTTAAAATATTCAACATTAATGCATCAGCATGATCTAATGCAAAAAGAACTAAAATATCTTTAACATTTTTAGGCAAAACATTTAAATTAGGTAAAAGTAAATCATTATATGCACGATAATGATCATATAAATTTTTTTGATATTCATTTCCAGACATTTTACGTATAAAATAATCTTCTTCCGTTAATAATTGACATTTTTTTTCTTTTGAAATAGTTGTTAATGCTTGAACAACAATCTCTTTAACATTATTTTGTTTATTAAATATATCTAACATAAAAATAAACAAAACAATTTTGTTTCAAAAAGAAAAACAAAATAAATTATAATTTTACCTGGAAGATAAAGATAAATTTTATCATCTGATAAATCTAGTGTACTTGAAAATGTTATTCGTGTTTGTTCATCTGGAACAGATTTTGTTGGAATTTGTTTATTAGCTTTTATTTCAAGATCATTTAACATTTGCAATAAACGACGATCTGTTGTATATGTATCTTTAATCCATTTAAATAAATTTTCATCATATATTTGTTGATTACGTAATAATTCTTCTAATTTAGCTGATTCAGGTTGATATTTAACACCCATAGTTTCAAAAAATTTTCTATAATTATACAATTCATATGGAAGTATTTGAACATAAGTTGCTAATGGATGTGTCTTATCAATAAGATATAATTGATTTGATGATGAAAAACCATTTGAACCATTCCATATCCATTCAACTAAATCACATATACGCATTTCTTTTAATATGTCATTTGGATTATTTATATATGATAATGCATCATATAATCGTTTGCATAAATTTAAATAATCAAATGTTTCACTTTTTTGTTCATGTAATGAACATTTTAAATAACATAAAACAATACATTTTAATTGTTTTATTAATAAATCAAGTTTTACTTCACGCATATCGATTAATGAACGATTTGATGATGATGATGAATTTGATGAACGTATTCCAGAAACAAATGATTCAGGTAAATCAAGCGAAGATACAAGAGCTGTTGCACCAACGAGAAATGCATGAGATTTATCACATACTTCACGTGGTGTTACAAAAGGACGACGGGAATCGATGGAACCTAAAATTAAAACAATAATATACAGTGATTTTATTCTTATGTTTCATTGCACGCACGCCATAATTAGTTTCGTTTAATAAGAGATTTCAAACATTCACTTGCAATTTCAAGCAGTTTTTAATTTCTTAATATTTGTAAAGGAAGTTTGAGCGATATCTCGCCAATATTTTAGAAGAAAATCCAAGGGGGAAACAACTGATTTAAATCACCTGAAAATCAAGATTAAATCATTTGTAAATCATGTTAAATCACTTGAAAAATTGATTTTAGATGATCCTAAATCATCTTTAAATCACCTTAAATCAACTTAACTCATCTTAAATCACAAAATCATAAATCAGTTGTTTCCCCCTTGAGAAAATCTGTTTAACAGATGATTTTTCTATTATATTAGAAAATCTCAATGGATAACCGTTCGAACGATTATAATGTTCCGGCAAGGACATCTCCGATAAGGATAAACATTAATTTGTGCATCCGAAAATAGAATGTTCTACAAGATGGAACAGATTTCGTGTTAACTCAAGGTCTTGATTGATTATCGCTCTATGGTAGTTGATAATCTGTGACCAGAAATGTGTGATGACCAGTTTTCTGGTCCCGGTTCCGTTCTAGAAAAAACTATTCCAACATTTATTCGTATCACGTCTAAAAACATTCTTCAATACTCATTTTCTTTTATTTATTTATTTAGTCGACGATTAGCACTTGTTTGGTTCATGTCTCTTGAATTATGTTCTAATTGATATGATTTATAAGATAATTCACTTAAAACCATAGAGTATTTAGCTACAATGCTACGTGCCCGCCTGGACAACCTTTCTCTCATAGTCCCGATCTCGGCAACATCTCTTTCCTGTGGTTTCGCACATATGTAGTCGTGGTTTATATGGAATGACTGTTATATAAAAACTTTTATTTGTTAAGAATTTTCTGTATCCTTGTTAGGAGCCTTTCAAATAGGAATAGCCATGCATTGAAAAAATTGCGTTTTTTGTTGCCTAATAAAGGATAAAATATCATCGATTTGAAAACTAATCTTTTTTTTTTAGAAAGTTTTATAGTTTATTGTGATGTTAAGTACAGAGAGAAGGCTATAGTTTTGATTCAGGGTCAATTCAATTCTATGAATGAATTGCAACATTTTGATACAATCAGCATAAAAAACTGAAAGTAGACCTGAACGATTTTTGAGTAGTACACTCATTATATTTTATGCCTATGTTATGCCGCAAAATTTTCCTAACACATTACTGCATATTAACCGAGATATGCCTTATGGTAGCGTAACCGTAACACACAATGCGTTATGTAATGTGAAAATTAATTACAGCTAACTGGAGCCTTATATGATAAAACTATTTTGTAAATTTAGAAAAAAAATCATTTTTTTCCTCATGAAAACGGAAGTCATTTAGGTGAAGTTTTTTTTTAATTAAGCTGTTATTCGCTCAACAGTTTTTCTTTTTTAAATTCTTCTACATGAATAATGAACGAATGTCTATTATGAAGTATTTGGAACGAATGGGCGCGTAAATGGAAACATGAAAGATTAATAATCTTTTTTTTTAGTACATATCCCCATAAAATACTACTTTTTCATAATGTGAGACTTATAAGTTTCGTCTAGAATCTTCTGCATCCGCAATTTTCAAATCCACCCGGTCCGTCCTTTTATATCGAAATTAGATAGTCACCCCAAAAACATGAGATTTTTTTCCGGTTATTTTAACTTGGTGATTAGTGCATCCTCTATACATTTCTCAGATGACTACAGCTTATCGAATGCGAAATTTTGGCATCCGGATGGGCTCCAGTCTGTGCCTATGCGAACTAGATAGCTGAAATTTTTGTATGGAATACACATAAAGTAGTAGCATACAAAAACGTGTCTGTATTAGTCAACAAAAAGAAAAGTTATTTGATAAATACAATTAAAAGCTCAATTATACTCGAAAAAGTTGCAATTCATTCATATTTAGAATTAATAAGTCGAGTGTTTGTTATATTTTATAAAGAAAAAAACACTCCGAAGAAATTATATGGGTGAGAATGAAGGTTGCTTGCAAATATTCTTCTATGTAAACTTAGTAAAAATGAATTAATTTAATAGTAATAATTTACCTTGCCATGTAAGTGTTGATGGATATGAATGTGGTCGTTCGAGCATAACAGGCATCCATTGTGTAATATTTAAATATTGTTTAAGACTAATTCGTTTTGTTTGAGAATAATCATCAACTAATTTTGGACTTTGATTTAATATATCAATAATAAAATCAGCTAATAAAAACATTAATGAACGTTTACCAGTTGTTGTTGATTCTTTAATTGTTAATTCACATATATCAATTAATTCATCACATTTTATATCATAGTATTGTCTTAATCTAAGATGTCTAAGTAAAATTAAATGTTCATTCGTTGAACATGTTTCAATTGATGGTAAATATTTTAATTCAAATAAAGTTAAAAATTTTTCTTTATTATTTAAATGAAATGATGATGGATCAAACATTTGTTGGCAGGAACAAAGCTCACCCGTACGATTTAAAAATAAACGACTTGTTGATAATGTATCTTGACAAACAACGTCAGTTAAAATTAGATTTGCGCAATTTGATAGCAACCATTTACCTATAGAAAGAAAAAACGTAGATTTTTAAAAAAAATTTAAACTCAATCGTAATAGAGTAGATTAGTGCTAATGAGTTTATATATGTTCGAAACAATAAATAATAATAACATAATATTTAAAAAGAAGTTAAATTATGGGTTATCATGAAGGTCATATTATATTATCCTTGTAAAAAATTACTCATGCATATACTTTATGAACAATTACCTTGTTCTATATAATTATACAGTTATCAGCATGAGTTCAGTCGATATGAAAACTTTACAATCGAATCTCATTATAAAAGGTCAGTATGGGGGATAAAATTCATGTTTACTTCGATGACTAACACATTTTGAATATGAATAGAATCGATTCGAATAGTTCATAAATGTATACAATCAATGAAATTTTATAAAAATCGTATCGCATTGTTGAGGACTCTTCAAGCTAGTAAATCTCCACACAAAAGTTTTCCTCAATATTCTTAAGTTTTTTTTTTTTTGAAAAAACTGAGTTTTTTCGTTGTTAGGGATTTGAGTGAGTGTGAATATAGAAACGACAAATCCTCTTGTAATTAAATGAGAAGTCCAAAAAGTAATTCTAAATAATATAGACCCTTTTTGAGGATCAGAAGATGATAGACAAACAAAAAATGTCGTTCTGGAACAAGATCACGACTGTAGAAAATTGATTCTTTTTGAAACCCGGCTTTGTTGACAATTATTTACTATTAATATTCTAATTAATTAACTAATTAGATTTAGCTAAAAGTGAGTTACAAGAGGTAATATTTTTACATATATTTATGGAGAAAAAAACTTGTTTAATAGTATTTCGAGATAGAAAAAAAAAGATTTATTCACCTAAAAATGCCATTTTGTGCTGATCATTTTTCAATGTTGTATTAATGGTTGATGAATTTTGTTGTTGTTGCTGCTGTTGTAAATTTGCTTGTTGTTGTTGTCCAATAGTTGTTATGAGATATCTAGCAACATGTGTAAAATCATGTATAACATAACCTAATTTATCTAATAAAACTCTTGAATCACTATCTGTAACATGAATACATTGTTTGGGTGGTTGTAAATCAACAGGTAATTTTGTTCCTGATTCATATATATATAAAATATTATTTAAACTAATATATTTATATTGTTGTTGATTTAAATCAGTATTTAAATAAGCATTGTCAAATATAGGTAATTGTTTAATACATTGAATATTTGAATCATCTAATTGTTGTGTCATTATACGTGATAAATATTGTCGTAATAATTTAATATCATGTTCATTTAATAATGTATTAAATTCATGTTGAATTTTTAATTGTGTAAAATGTCTTAAACGACATTTAAATATTTGTAATAAACCTAAACATGATAATTGTGGTACATATTCATCAATACATTTATGTCGACGAATCATTTCCGGAAATGGTTCAATACAATAAAAATTTAATTTTAATAGAACTTTTTGTATAGCTAAATCATCTTTACTTGGAACAATAGGTAATTGTATAAGACCAATATTTTTTGATAATTTATATAATGATATAGTATTATTAGCTGTTGATGCACCTAATGGACGTGATAATGGTTGTAAATAAAGAATATTTGTATTTTCAAGCATAGATAAATCATTTGCAAATTTTTCATTAATATATTTCCAAAGATTTTCAAGCCATTCAATATTATAGTAATCATGATTTCTAGGCCATTGAATGCAATCATCACCACGACGCCATTCACGTGGTAACATAACTAAATCAGCAAAATCTTTCGCTGGCATTGATTGAAGTTGCGTACGATCTATGAAGACGAACAAAAAAAGAAAAGACACATATATATATATTGTTGATGTTTATGAATAATTGTTTCATTCTATTCGAATGTCAAAATAAATCTTATCAAGTATTTCAAGTTTTTTTTCTCTTTATGGCTAATCTCTATGCAAATTTTGTTGATCTATCGAATACAGAGACAAAGAAAAACAAAAAAATGTAATATATATTTATATATAGAAATCAAATTCTTACGTTATTCTCTAATGATTATATCAAAAAAACCAACAGCAGATGTCTACACATCTACTTTTTTGTGTCTGTATTTAGTTGGTCGTCGAAATGTATGGCAAGTCAATTCATTAGCATACTCGATTAATCAGCAAATGTCAACAACAACTCTCGTCCTACATTTATTTATATATCGATAAATATATGTTCGTCTATGTCGGTTCTCTAATCCTATCAGTGGCCGTTCTATGTCTATCTTTATTTAATATAGAAAAAAAAACAACTCCAATGTGTCTGTCTCCTGCTTTATGTATGTAACATTGTTTCGATAAACAATGAAATGGTGATAGTAGCAGTTGCTTATATAGTAAAAAACTGATAATAAGAGGTCAACATTGAACAGTGTCCGTTTTCATGATTGAAATAAGATCTTTCGGTTTCTTTATTATAAAAAAAAGAACACATAGCAACAAGGAATTTGATTCATTACCGATTGGATGATTTTTTTTTTTAAAGTTTGAAAAATTCTAATAAAATAAATTCTTAGCAATGAATTCTACACATTAAATCTCTCATAAATTATGGATTAAGTCTCCTATCTACAAGGTCTAATAACACATTGCCTTGATTGAACGGTAAAAAAAAAGAAAAAGAAACCTAAAAATTTGTATGCTTAACAACCTACGTACACACACGTCACTTGTCACGCTCGTATATATTCTGGTGTCCTTCTCGGCAATAAAAGGCTTGCTTATTCGTTCGTTCGCTCTTCGTGAAAGAAAAAAAAAGAAAGCACTTAGACACTTATGTATATGTGCGATTTTGTGGCTTGAGATTTGATCAACGTTTTCATCGTCAACGTCCCTCGTATGAACACAATAGAAAGAAAGAAAAAAACCTAAGAAGATTAAAGATTGACAGTGATATGTGTACACATGCTTAAGCAATCGTTAATGACTGTTTTTGTTCGATAAAGATACTTTTTTTTTCAAGAACAAGGTCCTTACAAATATATATATATATATATATATATATATATTTATATACGTTCTAAAACATATCTTGTTATGATTTGTTGATTAATAAGCAGGGAAAAAAACAGTCTACCTCTTGCTTGTAAACCTTGTCACAACATAATGTGAACAATCATTTTTTTTGTTGTTACATTTATCAAGGATGGCTGACAGGTTTTTTTTTCAACTGACATTTGCTTAACACATATATTTATACACATATTGCATATCGATGAAGCAATATAAGAATGTCGAAAAATTCTGAAGCCCGAAGATTCACTACTATACTATACATATTCAAGTACAATTTGTTCTTCTTTTTTGCCTAACAAAGAAATTCAATCCGAAAGGAAGGCTAAAGATTATCGCACATATATATATATATATGTAGATTCTCTTCGTGCTGTTTGCTCTAGTAAATAATCAAATCTGTGTATGTTCGCATACTGAGAAAAGGGAAAAAAGTCCGAGAAATGTTGCACAATTTTTCTGCGTGCATCCAATTAGAAGAAGAAATAAACAGCACAACTGTTCAAGATACACGCACCCTCATCCTGTGGCATCGACACTGATGTCGGTGTCGGTGTAGTCGTTGCAATATTGCGTGACGAAAGATAAATAGTTGGCGTTGGAGTAAGATCCCATGTGGAAAGAAAACGTGGTCGATGTTGTTGTAATGGGCCCAAATATGATGAAGATAATACTGGTGATGGATTATGAAGGCGTTGTTGATGATGAGGAGGAAATATGGGTGAAACTCGATGAAAATAACGATTGGATGTTGGAGTTACACGACTTCGATTATTCATATGATTCGAGTTATTATTATTTGATATTTGGTCATAACGATTTGGTATATTTGCTGAAAAACGATATCTTGAGTCCATTTTATCTATGTTTGAGCACACAATATGTGTGGCGTAGTTTTATTTCAGGCTAGACAATGAATGTAATCATCATCCTCAATCTTCACTTTCTTCTCTTCTTTGTTCGTCGTCCGCGTGATGAAGAAGAGTAGTAGGAGAGTGACGGCGCATGTACAGGGACGTCATCATAAAAAATCTGTACGTATACGCATAAGAGGAAAGAGCGAGAGAGAGAGAGAGAGAGAGAGAGAGTATGTATGCAAACGCAATTGATGTGGGTGATGAGAGGGAGGACCAGTAAGAGTAAAGGAGAAAGAGAGAAAAAAAGAAAAGAAGAGTAATGCGTATACATGAGTAAGAAGAAGAAGAAGAAGAAGAAGAAGAGTAATACCATCACATTCTTTCTCTTTTCTATGTATTTACTATTCTTGTGGTGATGCTAACATTGCACTGGTACGACAAAACTGTGTAATGTCACTACATAATGAAGTTGTTATAAGATGATAGTGATTGAGATTTTTGCGTAATCTTTGACATGAACATGTTTTATAAAAAAAGTAATTGAAATGAAACAATTTACAAATGAATAAAAATGATGAAGCACTTAGAAATCAAAAGTAATTGAATTATTCAATAGATGCTTATTTATATGTTGATGTTACAAACGATTATAAAAGAAAAATTTTCATGTCATAATAATAAAATAGTAAACATATTCTATAGATATTAATGTGTCTTTGTTTTTCTTTCTGTTTCTATACATCATTGAATAACCTTCAATAAAAACAAAAAAATCTTGAACTATGTTTATATAAAATGAGACAAATTGATTCGTGTCTACTGATTGCCTTGAGACTAGTTCATCAATTTAATAGATGATGGTTCTCAATGAAGGAATACACAACCATTATTAAAACATAACCGTTACGAATGAATAATTGTCTATGTTGATAGTAATTACCTTGTCTGATATATGAATGAACAAGTTCGAAATATTAATTTCAATAGAACACTTTTCATTATATGCTGATAATGAAATATTCTGATGTGGTAACATTTCTTTTTATTCAATGTTGTTTTGAATAATCAAAAAAAATTTCTTACAAGTTTCTATGTATAGATATATTACAGTACAAACGGATTAATACATTCGTCAAGAAATTAGTCAAACGTATCAAGATAAATTATTATATATGATATCATATTTGCCTTAATATTTGTCCTAGTTTTATGGACAAAACTATTTAAAGTATAATGATAATAACCAGATACTTGGAATATACGTAATTATATAAGACTATTTCTATATTCAGTTTTCTCTTTTCTTTTTCGTTTTTTTCAATTATTTCTGCCTTGATTTTTCAAGTTCACTTTACTAACATACAAAATGCATCACTTGAAATGCATTGACGTATAGATCATTTTCTATTATCAATTTGCATATGATCAAATTTAACAAAAAAAAAGACGAAAAAAAATCGAATAAGAATGATTAAATATTGGTATGTACAGATCAGAATGATGCGTGTTTTGTTGTTGTATTCTGTTTTCTTTTTTTTGTTTGAATCAAACACAAAGACAAAAGAAAAAAAAAACCTGACTCGTTGAAACTATTTCTAACTATAGACATTCCCAAGGATATGTATGTTGTTTAGAAAAGTATTTACCCGTTTGCATTATTGGCATGTCGACTATCTGTTTTGCAACTAATATCTCCGCCTTATCTGTTTTTTTTTCTTAGCTATTTCCTATGAAGAGATAAATATACAAAACAGACAAGCGATCCATTATCGTACCGATATTATTTAACGGTTGTTGATGCTCTTCAAGTAGTTGTTCATTATTGTTTATTGTCGATTGTTGTACAATAGTTTTGACCAGATCAAGATCGAGTGATATGGGTCGTTTTACTTGTTTTTTAAGCCAACCACGTCCAATACACATTGGTACTGGTGTTTGCTGTGTATTTACATTGATTTGTGATTTATAATGTTGAGATTCTTTTGAAACATTTTTCGTATTATTGGTTGCTGTGGATGTTTTATTTCGAAATATCGACAAATTTTTTGATGACAGAAAATTACTGAAGAATGTATTACGTTTTTTTGATGGATTTGTAGTGCCAGAGGCTGATGCCATTGACGAGTAAAAGAAAAAAAGTGAAAGAACAAGAAGGCGGACTCTTCGAGTCTATTCACGATAATACAATCTTAGCAAAAGGATCTTTTCTCTTGCTTCTTTTGACATACATACATACATACATACATATCGTTTCTTTCTCTTGTCCTTTCGTACACTATGTTTTTTTCTCTCTTCTTCGAATCTCTCTCGTTTCTTTTTTTTCTTTCTTTTTCATATTTCTTTATCAGAACACCTGAATATTTGCATATAACTGATGTACAAAAAAAAAAGAAAGTACCAGACAAGAAGCAAAATATGCCCAATGACATTTGGAAAATGTGTCCGGTTATTGTGAAATAAAAACCTCTCAATGTCATATGATTAGAACAGGTCTATTGAACACATATGGTTATAATTACAGTCATAAATCTTATATCAAAATGTGAATATCACAAGAAGGAAAAAAAAAAGAAAAAGAAAAGTCATATTCGTTTTGAAATCTTTATCATACGAGTAATAGTTAACAACAATATAAGAAAAAAAAAAGAAATTAGGTAGAATTTGAAATGAATAATCTTTTTGGTAGTTTTGAATTGGTATTTATGACTTTGTATTGACATATACTTATCAAGTATTCTGTTGTTATCTTATACTTTCGATCAAGTCTCTACGAATAATATTATATAAATGAATAGTATAGAATCATTAGATGCCTACAACATTCTTTAACAAATTTTATTACAGTCATTAGATTTCTTTTATTCGATAACAAAAAAAACGAAAGATATTCATTGTTATGTTTATCAAAAACTTAAAAATTTCTCGTATATGATGTTTTCTTTGGATTTAAAAAGAATCGAACTGACTCATAATACGTAATAGTCAATCGAGATCTTTCTTCGTTTGTTTTTTTTTTCAACTCCTCCCTTCAGTTTATACAATACAGCAATTGACAGGTCACCAACCTAATCTTGATTGATATGTTCATATAAAATTCATACACTTATTCAATGCTCCACCTATAACGACTGTAATTACAGAGTTCGATTTTCGTAGTTGCTTACTTAGTTCTCTCTTATGATTTAGTCACAAAAAAAAATTTAACGGTAAGTTACATCATGCTTTTCTCTTGTTAATCGATATATTATATGTATATATAGAAAGTATTCTTTTTTTTTCTTGGGCACAATGAAGGTCCTATGTATATTTAATTTAGTCTTTTTTTTTCAATTTTTATATTCTAGTATGTGTCATGTTCAATTAGAATGAATAAACGTAGACAAAATCAAATACATAAGGAAAAGTAAAAAGTAAAAAATTCTTCAAAGTCGTTGAAAATACTTTCAAATAATCAATGAATGTTAGTAAATAACTAATAAACATAGAGATGAACATATTACCTTTACATGTAAAGTGAAAAAGTAGTGGTTGAGAATGAATTTGTTCTTTATAATGATGAACATTAGTTGGTAATGGACTACTTGTTTGAAGTCTATATATGGGTGAAGTTTTTTTCAAAGATAATGAAGGTTTTGTTGAACAATGTGTAGTATTACCCATTTGAATAGCGATAATTTAAAAAGAAGAAGAAGACAAAAAAAGCAGAGAAGAATGAGCGCCTTTGTTATTCAATTTAAAATAGAAATTAAATTTCTTTTTCTTCTTCTTCGATTTCGTTTTGTATTATTATTTTTATTGGTATTGGTAGTGATAATCGTAGGTATATTCTTTACTTCGTTGTCTACTGTCTTTTTCTGCTTGATGACGGATCAACATGGATTGATTAATTTTCAAATGTATTCAATTTGACAATAAATATCGAGGTATTACGAAAAAATTTTTGCACATAAATGTGTATGAATGTAATGTACACAAAAGAAAGTTGGAGAAAAGAAGTACCGCGACGTATTTGTATTCAAGTGCTTACTAAAGCCACCAACCAACACCGGATAAGTAGAATTTTGAACTGCAATTGTTTTTAATATTGAGGAATTGCTGAGAGAATGACAGAGTAAGAAAGAAAGAGACAGAAACGAAGAGAAAGAGAAGAAAAAAGAGACCAGAAAAAGAAAAATAATAATAGGTGACAAATCACACGTAGGATGCCGATACAGTACAATATTTTCTGTATAGAGGTGTATACACGAGTATGAACGATTGGACATATGATATCATCGTTATTGAGCAATGAAGAGAAGAAAATTGATTTTTTTTTCTGTCATACTATTCATGGATGTCAGTCTAGCGAAGATAGTTTATGCTAGTTAATGTGTATGAACAATTATAATCATTAAAAAACTATCTTTCTTTTAATCATTCGAGAATAAAAAGAACCTGAAAAAGTAAAGAAACGTGGCGTTCTTTTTTTTTCTGTTTGTTTCAAGCCATCTCTGTTCGAAATATATTTCAATTACGGTAAAACATATGAAATAATCACAATTTGCGCATCAGTTACTAATTCATTGGCCATGTAGATAGGTGAACATTAAAGTACTATACATGAATGAACCATTTTCACCTTGGCTTCACACGCCTTATGTTTTTTTGCTTCCAAACATACAAATGATGATGACAATGATGATCGATTGAGTATGTTTTATTAACCTTGCTCAAAGACACATTACACTACGATAAAGATCGAAGAAGAGGAAAAAAAAAAGAAACTTTTCACATAGACACGATTGATCTATTTTCTTCATTCTCTGAACATCAAAAAATATAGACAGAAAAAGACATACATCGTTGCTCGCTGACTATAAAATAGCGCCAATTTCTAGACGAATCTATTTTAACTGATCAATTATTCTAGATAACTTATAAGAGAATTATTCCCTTATTATTCATAACAAGTCAATATATCGAGAGTTACTTTCTTATTAGCTATACACATCTGCAAGACGTGTGCGTATACATTAAACCCTAAGAAATAGCTAACAGTAACAAATAAGAAATGTCATCATACTATTTATCTAACATATGAATAGAAACTGCTACCATTAACAAGTTAATTTTAAACTTTCATAAAATTTTCTTTTTATGAAAAGAAAAAAGAATCATTTATATCAATAGACAAACAAAGTCATTCTTTCATTATTTCATCTGTCAATATGGGAAACCATTCAAACTCCAGTCAATATATTAAGCTTCCCATTCATTATTTATTATTCACTATTACCTCGATCATAAGGTGATGGTGAAGCCGATATAGATCGACGACTATTGTCTGTTGATTGTGTTGGTACATAACGATTATAATAATTTGACCGATACATATGGAATTGAAAAATCCCACACACTCTTAGTTAGAAAAAAAAACAACTTTCTATCGCCACTAGCACTAATGTCGTTGTCGTATGTAGTACCAGTTGGGGGTCGTCGTTCGGTTTGTTGCACTGAGACATTTTCTTTTTTCCTCTATTCTATATTCTCTACTATTTTCTTTTCTCTTTTCTATGTATGGTCGTTGTTTGAATATATATGAAAAAAAAAAGAATCGCCCGGAATAATAAGTCGACAACAGAAAAAAAAAAAAGAAGAGAAGAAGGAAAATGTGCCATTTTATGACGATCTTTTTCTTTCTTGGATAGAATTAAGAAAAAATAGAAAGACAGAAATTATCGGGAAATTCTAGAATAAAATATAAGAAAAAAAAACCAAATCATACCTTGAAAATTTTCTGATGATAAAATATCAAATAATTTTTTATTGATGTTTGGATTTAAAAATTTATCATAATTTTTATCTTCAAATAATTTTAAAAAATCTAAATTATTATCCATTATATAAATAGTCGATGCTTGTTTTCCTTGAAATGTTATAAATTCATTATTAGCTAATGGTAATAATTGTAACTCAAGTACAAGACCTGGATCAGGATCATTTAATATAATATATGTTAATAATGAAAGTTTTTGTTCATATGTTAAATGTGAAAATATTAATGAATTTTTTGCTAGTAATTCTGATGCATGAAATGGTGTCATTACTTGTAAATAATGCTTATTAGAATATTTACATAAACCATTAATTACATGGGACGGTAGAATAACAATAGGAGCATTGGCTTCAGAAAATACAAATGTAAGAACATCTTGTATTGGACCTGATTCAACATTATTAATAATCATATCTTCTATAGCTACATAGCCCCAGCCCTCAGTAACTGAATAGAATAATTCTTGTTTACCTAAAAGACGAAGATAAAATAAAAATGAATTTTCTGGTTCAATAAAATTTTTTATATTGAGTCGAATTCTATTATACAAAAAATATATACGGATGTTTAAAATTTAACAAAACAAAATCGTACAGTAGATGAAATATTCAAAATGAGTACTGAAATAATAATATTATTTCAATCAAAGATGTGTTGATTAGAAGGCAATGTTACGGTCACGACTACATACATAGATTTCTTTTTTTTTCTTTCGCATCACTTATTTTCTGAGTTTATTATTATGTAAAAGATGGACATAATGATTCTTTTCCTACTGTAAATGTATAATAATGTAATAAAGTAATATTTGATACGTTTTATCAAGCGAATCCGTTCAAGTATCGTACTCGACAAAAAAAACGAAAGAAATACATTTCAACTTTAAATCTCATTGTATGAGAATATTAATTCACAAAAATATATTATATTGATAACATCGAAAGACAATATGAAACCTATAGAAAATCATAAAAAATTAAAAAGTAGAAGATAATAATATAGCGACAGATTTTAATTATGAAATGAATTCGTATAAATTCAGATGATAAATATATCATTGGAAAGCTTTTAACTACTTTGTTAGATCAATAAATGACTATATATAACCTACGGATGTTCATTGTAGCGGTGGCGACAGCTTTTTTCCTCAAGGACATTTCAAAAGTGGATGATTTTACATGGAATTTTAGTATTCACAAATGTAACACTCAGAGACTCGATGAGCTTTATGAATTAGTAACAGCAGTTAAATTGGAAACATTCTTTTTGAATACCATTGCAACAGCGGCATGCGAGCTTTTCT